CAGAGGAAATTTATCGATGACGTGTATGCTGCTCGATTACGGAGCCAACGTCAACGCTCCTCCGGGAAAGTACTCTGGCCGGACGGCGATCCAGGCGGCTGCGGCAAAAGGAAACTTAGAAGTGGTGGTGAGTCTGCTGGAAGCAAAGGCAGATATCAACGCAGCTGCGGGCTGGCAAAACGGGAGAACCGCGATGCAAGCCGCCATTGAATCGTCGCAGGTGATCACGGGTTTAGTTCTACGAGAGCTGGGAGCCAATATCAATGCCAAACCAGGGTTCCGTGGCGGGATCACTACGTTGCAAGCGGCAGCGTTATCTGGTAATTTGATCAGTCTCAAGGTAATCCTGGACAAGCAGAGAGATGTGCATGCGCCAGCCGCGCCGGAGGATGGACTCACAGCTCTCCATGCTGCGATTCAGAATAAAGACCTCGCAGCACTTCGTCTATTAGTCCACGCAGGTGCAGACGTGAACGAGCGACCTTCAAAGCCCTTGTCGTCACCCTACAGGAACAATTGCTTCCGTGCCGGAAACAAAACAGCCCTTCAGTATGCAGTGTACTTGGGATGGCCCGATGGCGTGCGATTTCTGGCACAAAATGGTGCAGATATCGACGCTCTGCCTCCCTTTCCCGGAGACGACGCATATACCGCCTTGGGTCATGCGATTGAAGAGAGAGACCATCAAATGATTAAGTTATTACTAGAGTATGGCGCTAATCCCAACAGCGATTATATCCATGACGATGATTCATCAACTGCCTTCAGTTTCGCCCTTGCAAATACATGCTCACTTCATATCATCAATCTGCTATTAAAATATGGCCCCAGCTTCGACAATCTCATAGGAAAGGAATCGGCGCTCGAGACGGCGGTAGAAGTCGGCCAAGCGGACGTTGTCAAGAGAATAATGACCTTGATGTCACAGTATTGCCCTGAACACTACTCCCGATCACTCAAAACAATAATGTCTCATATTATGGTAGACAATGACTGGGCACCCGACTTCGAGATGGTCCGAATATTAATTGATGCTGGGGCGGACATAAATGCTGCTTACATTGACGACGACAATTCGCTATACCAAGGAACACTACTTCAACGTTCAGTCAGGCAGTTTGTCAGTGGACCCAGAATAAGCGTTGTCCAGTTATTGCTCAACAATGGAGCCGAAATAAATACCCCAGCAACGGACAATTTAGGAACGCCATTGCAACTAGCCATTCTGGACGAAGAAGTGGAGATCGCAAATCTACTGATCGACCACGGAGCCGACGTGAATGCCCACCCAGCAAAGAATCGCGGAGCCACGGCATTGCAAGCCGCCGCTATGCACGGATACTGTGGTCTTGCCATGCGATTGTTAGCCAAGGGGGCGGATGTGGCGGCCCCAGCAGCGCCTGTTGATGGCAGGTTGGCCATTGATGGAGCAGCGGAACACGGATATCTCGATATGGTCCAGTTACTTCTAAATGCATATGGAGATCGACCAAACTTGTCATTTGTGTGTCGTAGAGCTGCCGCTGCTGCAGAACGAGAGGGTCATTTTGATGTGATGAGATGGTTGCTGGGTTATATACGATCATAGGCACCGGTGATTCAACGCTTGATTCAACAAATAATATACAATACCATTCAAAATCACTCCTCTACCCACGCATATCATATACACCCTTACGGATTCACCTCCCTTTCCACAATCCTATAGCCCACGCAAACCTCACTGATCACCCTCTGCGAAACGAATACCTCTGTTTCAACCGTTAGAATTAGATCTGAACCCCATTCCTAATCTCAATGACATATAATCCCAAGGAAGAAAGGAAGAAAGGCCCACTCACCTCTTGGAACATCATACCTAGAATCCCTTCTAGCCACCCATCCATTCGTTTCCCCATGCCCCGTGTCACGCCCATCATTCTCCCGTTTGGATTTCCTCCGCCATCTGCACCGAAAAATAAGCAGCGATGGAGGCCCCGTTACAAGCAGAGTCACCAGCGCGATGATGGTTGCTTTGGACCAGGTCATCTTGGTATTGGTATATGGTTGGCGAAATGCAGCGGAAGTTCACGTTTCTTGTTGGTTGAGTTGGTGTGGTATTTCGTAATATAGCTTTATTAATTGGCAGTTGCTTAAGAGTGGTAGACGAGGATATAGTATGGGATGATAGAGATGAGATTAATGTAATGAGATGAGATGCTGAATTGATAGATGAATGAAAGAGTTATTTTATATCTACTACACAGTACCAGTCAGTGTAGATACTAGTACTTAGGCTGTGAGATGAATAGTGATGATTATTGGTTGATGGCGGGTGGGGCAATGGAGCGGAACTTTTGGTTTCGATCAATGAAATCGAGTGTATGGGATTGGAACTAGACTGGGTTTGGGGTAGTGCTGGATATACCTGTATGTTTAAAGAGAGTGTATATGATCATTCTGCTGCGGCGACGAATACGTCCTTTTTGGTCTGCGTGGTAGTACTACTATTCTGGACAGGTTATTATGCTGATGTCTGCTTATTCTGTCAGTCATTGCAGTGACTACTAGAAGGCCAACAACAACCAAAGTAGACCCGTCAACTCCCGCATTAACCACCTCTGTCAGACAGCGCCGGCACCACCAAACACGAGGTCCAGTGAGTCGTAGGCCATATATTTCACTTGACCAGGGAGGGACTCGATATGTTATGCTACACGTCCGATTTTGTGGGTTGCGTGGTAGGCGCTTTTTTTGGCCTTTATTACACTTGAGCGAATGCCGCTTGAAGAAGCAAGCCCAAAACATAAGATAGGCTATCAGTGCAAGTAACGTGACTGATGGCTAACCAGTGATTGATTGGTCAATCTTCCCCCGGCAGAATGATCATAGTTGCCATATTGCTCTACCTTACCATAGTCAACAGAGCCGGGGTGTGAGGAAGAAAAAAAAAGGAATAAATCAGGGTTGGAGGAGTGGGTCCCTCACCAGCTAACTTCCTATTCGGGTGAGCGGGAACGACAGCCACGGATCACTAACTTGTTTGGTCCTAACTTATCCGGAGAGTCATACTATAAATGCAGCTCTAGGCTCATTCTCCAGCAAAAATGCATCAACGGTGAAATGAGATCCCCTCCAACATCTGCAGATTTAATATTACAAGAATGACTCGCATCGATTTGAGTTCACCTTCACCCATTATTCATATCCCACCCCCCACGACCCTCCAAGAAGTCCGCACCTCCAAACTCCGCTCTTTTGGTCCCGTCCTCTCCGGCATCGACAAGCAAACCCGCCCTGGCCAGCTCTACGTCTCCACCACCGGCCTAGAAGATGACGAACACGATCTGACATTCCACGGGGGCATCGATAAAGCCATTCACCAGTACTGCTCAGACCATTACCCCTTCTGGGCCGATCGCTTTCCCGAGGCTCGCACACGCTTTGTACCCGGCGGCTTTGGCGAGAATCTCGTCGCGGATGGCTGGAACGAGCAGACCGTATGCATCGGCGATAGGGTGCGCATCGGGCCACCGGGTTCCCTGAGCACTGGCGGTCGCAACGGTTGCGTGCTGGAGGTCAGTCTGCCGCGCCAACCGTGCTTTAAGCTAAACCAGCGTTTCGGGATCAAGAACTTCGCTCCGCTCACTCACCAGGAGGCTAAGACGGGATGGTATTATCGTGTCATAGAAGAAGGGTGGATACAAGAAGGGTTGGAGATTAGCGTTATTCGTCGAAGTCATCCACGATGGTCGATCGCCCGTTTGCACTATTACGTCCACCGCGACAAGACAGACTTAGCGATGTCGCAGCATCTTATGGCAATGGATGTCCTTGGTGATGAGTGCAGAGATGTATTTATCGAGCGCTGGAGAGCACATCAGGAGAAGGAGGCCGCAGCTAAGCGTCCACCCGAGACTTGGAGACAGTTCAGAGTTGCTAGTCATACCGCGGAGATTCCTCGTATCGTGCGGCTGGAGTTGGAGGCAGTTCGCCGAAGTACTTCCGCACCTGGTACGATCCTTCCTGGAAGTCATGCCCGGCTCAAGCTTCCTAATGGGCTACGACGCGCCTATTCCATCGTTAAAGGCGACACCGATCGGTTTACACTGGGGGTGGCCCGGGACGAACGCAGCCGCGGCGGGTCGAGCTATATCCACGAAACACTCAAGCGGGGGGACACAGTCTTAGTGGGGTCCAGGATACGGCAGGGCTTGGCCATCGACAAGATGGCGTCTCATCACATCTTTATCGCGGGTGGGATAGGAATCACCGCCCTCCTCGATATGATGAAACGCCTCAAGGACACAAATCAAGACTATTCCCTACATTATGCGGTGCGGAGCGCCACTGACGTCGCCTTTCAATCGCTGCTGGCGGACCTGCAGCCGTATGTCACCATCTACGATAAATCGCAGGGCCAACGAATGGACATTGCTGAGATCCTACGAAATCGCATCTGGAACAGCCATGTTTACGTGTGTGGGCCGCAGCGCATGATCGACGCCGTGGTAAAGACGGCCACCGCTGTGGATATGTCTCCTGATGAGGTGCATTATGAGGCATTCAATGGTGATGATGCCGCCGGCGACCCCTTCACTGTGGATGTCGTTGGTCTAAGTCGAAAATCAGAGGGACTTCAGGTGGGGGCTGAGCAGTCGCTTCTTGAGATTGTGCGGGATGCTGGCTTCGAGATTGGGAGTTCTTGTGAGGTGGGAAATTGTGGAGCTTGCAGGGTTTCTGTTCGCTGTGGGCGGGTGTTGCACCGGGGGACTGCCTTGATGGAATCGGAGCAGAAATCAGAGATGTTGGCTTGCGTTTCTCGGGGTGTTGGGCATATTGTTGTTGAGGTTGCTGAATAGATGCGTTGGAATTAAAAGGTGGATGTGATGGGTGAGTTCTCACAAATAGACAAAGAGACGGTATGCTGCCTTGGGACTGCTTGTTCTTGGATTAGCCAACGATTTGTATCGTGGAGCACATAATCTTGGGATGAAGAAATCACAAAAATGTACGTTAATGAATATATAATTCAATACCCCCTTCTACTATGGACACACCTCAGACGGGCAAAGCCGACACCTTTCCACAGATACCTCTTCTCTCCTCCTCCGTAAGGTCCACCCCAAAAACATTCCGCAAAACCTCCACCCGTTCACTCTCAGTATTACACACCTTCCCCAACTCATTCTTCCCTCCCCGATTCTCCTTCATCTTATCCTGATCCAGAATCACTTTCCCGTAGACCTCCCCGTCAGCGCGTTGCAGGAACCGAATAATTAGCAACCGCTGCGTCAGGAATGAGGTCGGGTTCTGACTCGTGTAGAAATTCATGACCTCAAAGTCCCGCGGGAAGAATTCGAGTTCATGGAAGGCATAACCCACCCGCCAGGCTTGTTCGCTGCCGTTGCGGAATTGGTAGGTCCAAGCGTTAGTACTAGGATTGTTGGAGGGGTGTGACCGCTCTCCCGACGATTCTTCATTTTTCTGGAGGCGGATCTCCTGCGTGCCAATATTGGGGATGGGGTTGGAGGTATGGACCAGGGGTAATGGGGTGGTTGGCCCATCGCCGCCGTAGCCGACGTCTAGCATGTAGTTGGAGTTGTCTGCAAGGGTAACGATGGTCACGGCGTGTTCCCTGAAGAATCAAATGCTAAGCCTCAATCTGGGATATGGAAGGGGGGATTACCTACCAGCCTGACCAACCCGGTTTAGGATTGTTTGCATCTCGAAAGAGACGAGCGCCGGTGAGGTACAAGTCGAACCCTAAATGTCTCAATACATGGTATAAGAGGATATTGTTCTCCAGGCAGTAACCCCCTCGCTTTCTTGTCACGAGTTGTGAAAGATGTCGTGGATATGAAGCGATATGAAAGGTGCTGCGCTGTGGTGAAGGGCAGTGTTGTCATAACCGGGATGTGGGAGACATGATAGGCTTGAATAGTTCCTAGAAGCTCTCGGTCGAGCTTGGGGTTCTGCTCGCGCTGAAATCGTGAGGGTAATCCAATGTGCTTGAAGGTTTCCTCGAGAAGATGAACGGTGTGACTTGGACTGGGTTTCATCATTATTGTAATGTGCGCGGATTTATTCTCTCTCATTAGTATATAACACCGGAAGGTATGAAGAGAATGGTGTTGTGGAGGTCTTACATCTTAGTAGATTTCAGTTTTAATAGTCTACTGGTCGTGTTAGATTAAGTAGGTCCAGCCGAATAGTACGCTTATAGGGTGGAGTCTCCCCCGCTCAAGGATGCCAGCTGTCAGCAGATCAGTCCATGCTGACATCCCGGAACTAGCAAATCCCATCGTGCTGCGGACTCAGAGTCTGTTTCATATCTACATATTGACTACCATGATCTATTCCCACAATCAGCGGATACTAATTAGTAGACTAGTTTGTATTCCCACCTGCCCGATCCAGTGTACGGGAACGACGCTGAACGCACATACGACTCACTTTGCTGATCCAATGCTCCGATAAATGGACATGAATGACCACAAGATTTCGAGTTTAGGGCTTCACATGCACCCAGAACCTACCAGGATTCTTCTTGGTTTGTCTTTTCTAGAAAAAAAATGATTTGACGGTGAACATCCAAGATGTCTTACCTTCAAGCCAACATCATATTATAGCCGATAGGTGCACCGAAACAGAATATGTCGCCAATCACTAAAGAGTATACGATAGCGGAATACAAATTAGCAAGTTGTTTTAGGGTCCGTTGAGTTTCATTTGCCGTGATATTGGAGCCCCGATAACTGCACTCTATCGCAATACATCAATACATCTGTGGTAGCTTCTAGCACCGCCACAAGCCAGCATGTCCTTATAAGCATCATTGTTGATCGGTTCTGTTGTTAGTATCTTCACCCGGATTGATTATTATGATAATGTGAAGGGGGTATGTGGTCAGACAGGGTTATCGTGCTGTTCCAGTGGGGTGTTGATGTTGCGTTTAAGGTGACAGGGATGCAGGTAGGTACGAATACTGCGATTGATACTGTACGACCGTGATAATAATATAATTCAAGTTTCATGAGAAGACGTTGCAGGTGCTGTAGAAATATACTATATACATAAGGACTTTAACAAACAAAGTCTTAAAGGGGCTGAGTTCGGGATAAATGAGGGCGTATGTCTACAGGAGGGTGCGAAAAGATGCAGGTGATGCTTGTCGACCTCCAATCTCTTAGAAGTTAGAAGAAAAACGGAGACTATTGTCTTCATATGCAAGGAAAGGTACATCTACATGAACAGGTCATTTTTATCCGCGACCTGTCTATGCTGAGGTCGGTTCAATAATGGCCCTCCAGGGAGGTGATTGATCGAAGCACGTGGCGCTGGAAATGCATCCCCCCATGATGAAATCTTTGTAAATAAAGTGGAACATTAGTGAGACCTCGGGAATTGAGCTAAGAAGACAAAACAAATTATTATGTTACATTAGTTTGCCTCAGCATTCGCATATAATTGTAGGGAAAAAACCCCCTGGATGAGGAAGAAAAACCTGCACCGAGGCTTGGGAAGATCAGATGAGACATTGTTCCATCCAGACAAGGCTTAGCCATAAGGCCCCCTTTGGCAGCTTCTCTTCCACCAGCATAGTCATACAGTTGCTCATTCAGGTGTTCCAGGTGTTCCATTTTCTATACGGATTGCTCAGCGTTTAAGAGTAATAGCAAAGGGTGTGACTACTGGCTCAGGCCAGCAAGCGTACATACCTTGACTACATGCGTTGTGACCATGTAGCAGTACCGTAGAAGCGTGAGTTTTGGTTGACCAGGTTGTCTAGGTTGCCTTCGATCTTAGAGGAGTTATCAAAAGTGGTTGCAAAATCATATACACCAACGTGGCCGTCGAGAGATCGCGTGCCCGCAAGTTGGTCAGTGCTATCGTAATTCAGTTTGGCTGAATTTAACATAAAATATGGAAGCTGAGAGTTGGTTCTCAGAGAGCATATATAATCTGGACCACCGATATTGAAATGGCCCTCAGCTTGATTTGGAGACTGCCAAGTGATATATCCATAAGCCTCGGGCATGGTGACTTGAAATTCAAGATGAGATGGAGCTTATAATTGATCAAGATGTGGTAGGTTTTAGAATGGAATGATAGATAGTCTAGTGTCGTCTCAGAATGGCTCACGAAGGGGGCTTTATACCTAGATTCGTGTTGTCGTTACTAATCCAACGTAGTTTGTACCACTATTCCAGAGTAGGGTTCATATATATGTACTAAACGTCACTATAGGCCAGATACAGGCTTCGAATGCCGTGTTAAAGTTACAACTGCACAATGTATGACGTGCATTTCAAGTGAGATTTTACCTATGCCTGACGTGTAATTATATGCATCATAGCCTCCTTAACGTACTAACATCTGTCTGCAAACGGCCGACTTCATGCAGTCTGCATGGATCTAGAGTGCAAATAAGACTCCTGTTGAGCCGATAGTTGCAATCCCAAGGGACCTTGTTAATCTAGACTTTATGGCAGTAATAGTCAATGTCCTTGTTTGTTCACGAGAACATCATTATTATCGGGACTATTCGACAAGCAGGAAGCCTAGCTAAGTCAGGCATACTCCGAGGCTAGTTCTTGATACAGTTACCTGTTAGTGTAGGCCAGGAAATATTCTCCGACACTACGGCCTACAGGACGCCCGCAGAGGTGAACCCTGCATCGATTGGAGGATGCTTCAGAGTACCAACCAAGAAGTCGAAATCAAAGCTACCGTCAGTAGTTGTAGCTAAGCCCAGTAACAACTTTTTCAAGTCAACATGTCAAGTGTGATGTCAGAAGATGTTTCATTGGCTCTTTCCATAGAGCCGGATTTTAAACTTTATGCTGTTTGCAGATAAGCTTTTTAGTAAGTGGCTTCTATCCCGTGTGAGCGCCAAGGTACGGAAGTATCCGTGATATCGAAATAGATGCCAGTCTTGACCTTAAGGGCCTGTGTCCTTTCTTGGGACAATTTTCTTTCTGATGGACTAATCCACTTTGCCAGGAAGATCTTCCCCCCAAGACCATATAGTTATTGTCAAAAAGCCCACGGAAACGAGAGCCGCTCGTCTGCGGACAATAATTGTTAGTAAAAAGCTTTTCTAGTAAATCGAGTTTCTATTCCAAGAATCTTCTGAACCTTATTAATTGACCATCCACTTAATACAAAGTTTTTCTTCGACGAATTGAATCATCACGAGATGCTTCCAGAGTCACAGCATTAGTTGTTACAATTTGGTGGCACGGCGTTTCTGCCAAGTAGGTCAAACCATATGGTATCGCTGGTTCGGAGCAGATGGTGCGACAAATGACTCAAGGTAATATTTATTTTACAATTTGAGCTATGGTTAAATTCCAGATTCATCCTTCGGATTGCCCTTTAAGCCATCCATTCCATGCCGCGTCATACCTGGGTCAGTGTCCATGGTATGCTTCTGATCAAACGCGGAGCCCCATGGGGTTATTATAGATCGGAGATGAATGCAGTCGTGGTTCCAAGAAGGGAGCAAGTCTCGATTTCCTTTTGAACCATGGAACCAGCACCAACGTAATCTGAGAATGACTTGGGACAGCACTATTTTATGTCCGTCGGATACGAAGTTCAGGATAATTGAGACACTGCTCGGTCATGTGGACCCGACATCTTTGGAACGTGTACTTTGCAATGTAGACATGGAGCGACCGTGCCTGGGAAAGCCGGCTTATCGGGAATTTCCACGTTTAAAGTCTTAAGGGAATGCGGAGATGAATTCAGCTGCTCTTATAAATTAAATTATTGGCCCGGTGGCTTCATGCAAACTGCAGGTTAGTGCCCATCACAATCGCACTACGGAGTGCACGGACTATAGTGCTCCTATGATGTGACAGGGGAAATGTAAGATGGATAGGCGATGCACCAATCCGAACCACCCTGTTAGCACTGGCGTGAATGTCACTTTCTTGGTTGCCCTCCTAGCCTGCCTTTTGCCTGCACCCGAACCTTTGAAGTGATAGACATACAAGTTTGGATTTCTGACAGCTCCTTAGGTGATTCTTGACACATTAGACCTGCAGGGTTTCTTTCGCCTTCATATGAATACTTTCCGATACTTTTTGAGGATTTGAGTCCCACTACAGTAAGTACACTAGATTAAAAGCTATTTATGGACTAATTTCACGCTAATCGGTACTTGATATACCAGTTGGTGGGCCTTCTATCATTTATTATTGAACCAGACCTACCCTTTAGATCAAGCTTCTTCATCCTCATACCAGGTTCCCTATTTTTCTCGGGAATCTTCCCCCCAGGGTTCTCATGATACGTTTCTTTGATAATGCAACATTATGTTTCGTGTTTGCCGTTGGGGAATGCAATAACTCGAGAGTACAAACCGCCCACCTGCGTTGGAAATATGAGGTTGATGGATTAGCTTGAGTGTTGTTGATGCATGTATATCATACTCATATCGGTGATATCACATTTTCTTATTTCTGATTCCAGTTAGATTAGTCACGTAGTATCATCATGGCTGAGCAGTGGGGCTCAATCTGACTAGAATGAGTGTGATGCATGCTAGTGCACTGGTAGTGCTTACTCCCGACGGATAACCTGCTGGATCAAGTAAAAGTTCGTCTCTCATGACAGTGAGCGTTTGATTAGTCGGCCAGATGCGCTTCCGATATTTGTATCACGATCCACTGAGGATTGTATGATAGAAAGTGGCTTTCCCATCTCACCCTTTGTCGCTTCAGAACGGACAAGGCTATACTTTATAGTGTGACGACTAACGGTGTACTCCTACCCCACTAACATCTTAGGCCCCCAATAAACGAGGCTTAGAACCTAGTAATTAACCCTTTGCCTTCAATCATCTATTTAAACATCGGCCATTATTATTCCATCGACCCCGCAAAGGCAACTACACTTCTCACAATCATGCCGTGGACTACAACCGAGCACTCGCCGAATACTCTCACCCGGCCCCTTGGCCCTAACGAGGTGTTCATCAAGCTGGTCAGTGACTTTGGCCACCCACTAGGCCGTGAACACTGGGCAGTGAACTACACTATCACCATTCGTCCCCGCGGGGACTTCGCAGCCGATCTCCTCCCAGCCCTGATCCGCCACAGCTGGTTGCACCTGCGCTTCCAACACCCTAGTCTAGCCGCGCATCCGGACTCCTCCAACGCCAACCTCGTGTACACAATTCCCGACTCTGTCGATACCCTCAATCAATGGGCCTCGCAGACCTTCTTCATCACATCGGACGCCCAATCCGCCGACGATGTGATCCGCACCATCGCACCCGCCCCTGACGCTCAACTCTACTACATCCCCAAATCCTCGCAAATCCTCCTGCACACCGCACACTGGCGCACTGATGGAGTGGGCGGCTTCCTCCTTCTCGGCCAGCTCGTTGACCTAATGTCCACTCACGCCGACACCATTCTCTCAGGGAACCTCCCCGACCCCTTCGACGCCTTCACCTGGGGAACAGAAACCACCCGACTATCCCTATCCGTTGAAGAAGCCGGCAACATGCCCCTAACCCCGACAGACGAGCAAAAGGACATCGCACAAGAAGCAGTAGAGACCTTCGCACACGCTCAAGGCGCCGTCGGAATCCCATACATGGGAGACGCCACCACCATCCCGACAGGCACCCGAGCCGCCGAGCTAACCTTCACCCCGGCGACCACCGCCGCTGCTCTTTCCGCCACGAAAGCCCGGGGCCTCGGCATCACTGCCGCCACGCACGCAAGCATCGCAGCAGTAAACTTCCGGCATGCTATCCCCGAGCACCGTGCCCAGGGTCGTCACTACACCAGCACTATCCGACACACGCTGCGGCCGTATATGCCCCAACCATACTCCGGCCCGGCGGGAGCTGCCACGCTGTTCACCACCGGCTGGATGTACCGCGTCGACGCCTCAAGTACATGGGAAGAGAATGCGCGCAAGTATCACGCTGAATATCGGCAGGGAATTAGTGAAGAGTATGTCCTCGCTCATCGCGAATATGCGACTATGTTGGTGAAGTTGCTGCGGAACCTTCCGGCGCCGGATGAGCCGCCGAGTGATGTCGATATCAGTAGTTTAGGGGTTCTAGAGAAGTATTTGCAGAGGGAGTATGGAAGTCCTGAGAGTGGGTTTAGTATCTTGTATGCGGGGCTCGGGGTGGAGATGCTCGCAAGACAGGGTGTGGTCTATGTTTGGACGTTCAGGGATCAATTGACCCTGAGGGTGGTCTTTAATGAGGCGTATCATACGGAGGAGCAGATGGGGGAGTTTTTGAGGGATATTAAGGCGGAGTTGTTAAGAGAGTTGGGGGTGGAGGAGTAGTGGTTGCTACATTGGGATGAGGTCGAGAATAGGAGGGTTCTTACGACTCTTCTAATGTTTGTGATATCTGCTTGACATTTACAAACTAGAAACACATCGAAGCGTTCCATTATGGGACATACTAGGCTTGGTACATTTTCCTATATCCCAAAATAAGAAATGCGACCGATACAAATCGCTTGGGTACTAAAACTACCACCTGTCAAGGAGAAGTAGCCGGATTCGAATCAAAGATAAGTCCACTCCGGAGTAAACTGACACTGTAAGCAAATCGTGTAACTTCCTTGTTCTACCGCAAATTCTACGATAAACTTTACTGACAGCGGCAGTCTCTGCAGAAATGGCGGATAGCCTGTAGGAACCCGAGACGTGTACCAGCACACAGACCAAGCATGCCGAAGCAGGACAATTAACGCATTGTCCCAGTTTTTGTATGTCTTGATTTTCTACTTTCTTTTCCAGTTTTATTCGGGAATGCGTCTCATCATGATTCGCGTAGCCTTCATGGACAGGTTCCGATAAATTTCCTAATCCAGGATTCATGTATCTAGAAACTTGACCTTTTTATAGTTTTGATTGATGAAGCCGCGAATAAATAGTCCGATAAGCACTCTTTTATCCGTACATCGGATGATTATCACAAACTATCATCTATAAGGTTTTGAACGCCATAAATCAGCTCTAGCATGGATCACCCAGCTTCAACTACTCCCTGTGAACCGATCGCCATTATAGGCATAGGTAACAATACCTACTCCCTCCAAAACCCATGATACTTTCATACTAACGTTGGCCTAGGATGCCGCCTCCCAGGTCAGGCCTCATCCCCAAGCAAGCTCTGGGACCTCCTCATCAACAACGTGACAGGCTATGGCTCCGTCCCACCCTCGCGGTACAACGCCGCAGCATATTACCACCCCGATGCCGACCGACCGGGGAGCATCAACTCTACCGGCGGCTACTTTATCCAAGAAGACATCAACGCCTTCGAAAATGCCTTGTTCGGAATCAACAACCTGGAAGCGACATCCATGGATCCGCAGCAGCGAAAGCTCCTCGAAGTAATGTACGAAGCGCTTGAGAACGCTGGCGTACCACTGGAAACAGTCCGCGGGTCCAATATGGGCGTCTATGTGGGCAATTTCACCAAGGACTACTTGAATATGCAGTACAAAGACCCGGAGTACTCCTCCCGATATACTGCCACCGGGACGGGACTAGCTGTGCTAGCGAATCGCATTACACATTGCTTTGATCTGCGGGGACCGTCGCATGTTGTTGATACGGCGTGTTCGTCCTCCTTGTATGCACTGCATTCGGCTTGCTTGGCGCTCGATGCTGGGGACTGTGACGCGGCTGTGGTGGCGGCTGCGAATTTGATTCAGTCGCCGGAGCAGCAGATGGTCGCTGTCAAGGCGGAGTTTTGTCGCCTGATGCGATGTGTCACACTTTTGATGAAAAGGCGAACAGGTATGCAAGGGCCGAGGGGGTGTCGGCTGTCTATCTGAAGAGGCTGGGCGATGCGCTGAGGGATGGGGATCCTGTTCGCTCGGTTATCCGGGGGACTGCTGTTAATGGGTAGGTTTCCATTTTTGTGGCAGGGCTAGATGCTAATCACGCCTTCAAGCAATGGTCGGACACCCGGCATTTCTCAGCCAAGTGTGGAAGGGCAAAGGGCCGTTATTCGGGCGGCGTATCATCGGGCAGGCCTGGATCCGGGAGAGACGGATTATGTTGAGGTAGGCTTCCTCGAATGGTGGCAAGCATATATGCTGATGATGAAAGGCGCATGGGACTCGCACCAGAGTCGGTGATCCTACAGAAGTCGAGGCCATATCTAGTGTTTCTCTTCGTCGGAAAGGATGCCCGATTCTCGTTGGTGGAGTCAAGCCGAATCTTGGTCACAGCGAAGGGGCGAGTGGTCTGTCGGGTCTACTCAAAACAATCCTAGCACTCGAGAATAAGATAATCCCTGCGACGGCTAGGGTGAAGATAATCAATCCGAGGATTAAATGCAAGGACTGGAACGTGGACATTGTCACTGCGAATCAAGCGTGGCCGGGATCCCGGACTCCGCGAGCATCAATCAATTCGTTTGGTTTCGGAGGTTCAAACAGCCATGCTATTGTTGAAGCATGGGAAGCAGACCTGCTGACCAACGGATATGGGGAATCGCCAGTTGAGGAAGATCCAGCCAGGCTCTATATCTTGCCTCTTTCGGCTCGATCTGAAACGTCCCTCCGACGAATAGCTAGCGATTTGGCTGAATACGTTGCTCACTCATCTCAACCTATTCCGATCAATGATCTGGCATACACACTGAGCTGCCGTCGCTCCAAGATGGCTACTCGTGGCTTTTTCATTGAATGTCAGGCGAGTCTGAACAAGGGGCTCGATATGTCAAACCCGAGGTTGAGAGGTCTCGACAATGAAAGACAATTCTCATTGTGTTTTGTTTATACCGGACAGGGCACACAGTGGGCTGGCATGGCGAACGAGCTTCTAAGTATTAGCAACGTGTTTATAAAGGCCATAAATTATCTTGACTTTTGCCGCCGTGCTCTTCATCCGAAAAATGCCCCCGCCTGGACGCTTGAGGGTATTTTGCGCGGTGACGAAAACCGTGATATCAGCGCCGCAGAAATATCACAACTGCTGTGCACAGCGGTGCAGATTGCGCTGACGGATATGCTCAAAGACTGGGGTGTTTTCCCGGAGATGGTGGTTGGCCACTCCTCTGGCGAGATAGGAGCAGCGTACGCTATCAGGGCTATCGATGCCCGGCAAGCCATCTTCGCGGCTTACTTTCGCGGAGCCGTTGTTGCTGGGGTCTCTGCTGAAGGCTCCATGGTTGCTGTAGGTCTTGGAAAAGACCAGGCACAGGCAATAGTCGATAATGTGGGTTAACAGAGTCTGTTGTTGTTGCATGTGCGAACTCGCCGGAGAGTACTACCGTCAGTGGCGATGCAGACGCCATTGATTCTCTGCTCAAAATGTTTCCAAATAGAGGTATCTGGGCACGGAACCTGATGACTGGGGGTACAGCGTATCATTCGCATCATATGAAGGCTGTGGGGCCGAGATATGAGGCTTTACTCAAGCGCTATTGGTATTTGACTGATGGCCAGGCCAATGGTCATGTCAATGAACATGTTAATGGGCACATCAATGGATATCTGAATGACACTTCCGATGGTCATGTCAATGATCATGATAATGGAAGTGTCAACGGCTACGCTAATGGCCAACTTGATGGTCAAGGCGATGCTCCCACGCCATCAGTGACCATGATTTCAACTGCAACCGGTGGCCCGATCAGTACAAGTCAAGTCGGGATGCCGAAATACTGGCGCTCGAATCTCGAATCTCCAGTACATTTTGACGCGGCCATCAAAATCATCCTGGAGCAAGGGAGTCATCATCTGATAGAACTCGGTCCGCACTCGGCCTTACAGCTCCCCATAAAGCAGACTTCATCGGACATTAAACAGAGTCGCTATACGTACAATTCTGCTCTCATACGCCACCAAAATGCCCAGCTAACCATCCTTCAACTTGTCGGTTTTTTGTACTTGCATGGACACGATGAGCTTCAGTACCACAAGATGTTCGCAGATATCCCCCAACCTCACGTCTTAGTCGACTTGCCTGCCACCTTACCCCTGGGACTACAGCTCACCTATAGGATCTATATGCCATCAGCGCCAAGGTTGATACCAAGGATTCGACATGTTCGTGTGAATGTGCCGGTGTCATTAGAGCAGGGGGCGACAATGTTTCGGAGTTCGAGATTGGTGATCGTGTCGTTGCAATGGCACCAAGTCATTTTGCAACCGTTGAGCGCTTACCCGAATGGGCAGTGATAAAAAATGCGCGACGAAGAGGATTTTACGGTAAGTGATAGGTCTGTACCAGCGAATAGGAGCTCATCCATGTGTACAGACAGCCTCCACGATTCCGCTGGTATTCTCAACGGTCATTTATGCACTGCATCATCGGGCGAATATGCAGACAAGAGAGGTAAGCACCGTATATTATGACTCGCAAGGCTGGGCTTACCCAATTAGTCCTTCTTATTCATTCCGCTGCTGGGGGTGTTGGAATGGCAGCGATCCAGTACGCGAAGCATCTTGGGGCCAAGGTAAGATCTTGTAGGCCCAGCGGTAATAAACTCCGATAAATTGGCTAAGCTAGATGATAGATCTTTGCCACCGTCGGAAATGAAACTAAAAAGTCATTTCTTGTGGAAACGTATGGTTTAGATCCAGCCCATATCTTCAACTCGCGCAATTCATCATTCCTTCCCGCCATAATGGAAGCCACTTCTGGTCAAGGAGTTGACGTGATGTTGAACTCCCTGACTGGCGACCTTCTGCGCAGCAGCTTTGAAGCATGTGCCAGCTTTTGCCGCTTCATCGACACTGGCAAACGTGACATCCTCGATCATGGCCTCCTGGATATGTCCACGTTCGGCCGCAATGTCTCTTTAATGGCCTTTGATCTATCCAATCTTTATCTCTCGAAGAACCAAACTCATCACAGACTCTGGAAGGCCCTCCTCAAACAGAGTCTTGAATTAGTGAGAGCCAAGATCTGTGAGCCTTGTATCATGATCAAGACATTTGAGGCGTCAGATATCACCGATGCAGTCAGGCATTTCTCATTAGGCACAACGGCTGGGCAAAGTAAATGTTTCATTCCAAGATCCGAACACCAAGATCAGGCTCATCCCGAAGAAGTATGAAACAGCCAATAGTGCCCAGAAGTACTATCTCATGATAAGGGGCCTGGGCGGGCTAGGTCGCAGTATATCCAAGTGGATGACATCTTGCGGTGCTCGACGGTTTATATTCCTCAGTCGTTCGGGTACTGACAAAGCCGAGGCGAAGGGCTTGGTTGATGATCTACAAGCGCAGGGGGCTCATATTATAGTAATCCGGGGAGATGTTTGCCGCTACGAGGATTTTGAACAGGCGGTAGAAGCGGCAGATTGTCCTATTGGAGGCGTGATCCAGGCATCTATGGCACTCGACGAGGCTATATGAAGTGATATGCCACATAGTGCATGACACACGACTATGGGTCCCAAGGTGCAGGGGACTTGAAATCTTCACAATGCGTTGAGGCAGAATAGTCGAGACTGCCAGCTGGACTTTTTCGTCATGACTTCGTCTATCTCGGGGACCATAGGCACCGCAACTGAAAGCAACTACTGCGCAGCCAACTCATTTCTAGATGCTTTCGCCCGTTATCGCAACCACCTGGTACTGCCGGCCATTTCCATTGGCTATGGAATGATTTCAGAAGTAGGATGTGCACGAGCACCCGGACATCGAAGCCTTCATGAAGCTTGGAGGCGTCCACCCCATCAACGAAGACAAACTAATCCAGATTATGAATATGGCTCTCGTTAACCAAAGGCCATGTACTTGGGCTTCTCGCTACGATCACCTGTCAGGAAGCCACATTCTCACCGGTGTAGAATTCATCAGTCTCCAGGGGCAGCAGGATAGAGGATTCGAGGGTGACAACCATGTCCTTGCGATCCACGAGCGGCATTGTTCACTGCGTCCTTTGCCCGCGGAGCCGCGGGCGAGGGCAAAAGCGAAACACAGAATGCGGCGGCGCATCTCCCTGAAGATATTGCACGGGCGCTGCGCGATAACCAAAATGTGGAGTCTTCTCTTGATGCACTTCGGGCTGTTGTGTCGAAGAAAATGTCAAATCTTATTCTTCTGCCAGAGACTGACCTGAAAGCGGATCAGCCTCTGGGTGACTCTGGGTTGGATTCTATGTTGGCTGCTGAGTTTCGGACCTTTATTTTCCGCATGTTTGAGGTTGACATTCCATTCCTTGTACTTTTGAAGAGGAGTACTACGGTTAACCATCTGGTCGATATGATTGCCCAAAGTCTGCGAGCCAATGCTTAGGTTCTTTTTGCTAGTGAGGATGAAGAAGCTATGTGGTTCACAATGATATGGAATTGTTAGTTGTAGACTAAATTGAGGATAGATGAAGGGCTAGAATGGTCCTTCCAAATTTGTAATATCTATCCCGGAATCCAATAGTTCAGTCTAATCATCATTCAGTGGATAAATTACCATGGATTTGATCTCGATAGACTTATCTACCTTCCGAGTTTAAAGGAATGCGACCGGTAGATGTACCAATTACGACCCTCGAGGCGATTAGACAATCGTTCTTCTTGGAAGCACAGCTGGACTAGTGTAACCATGTCATTCCAGGGTTCGAATACAACAGCTACGAAATAGTTCTAGATTCGCCCAGAAGTGCTACCCCACAGTCGGAAGCTAGGCGGTCTATCTCTCTGAGTCAACATTAGCACAGCCAAGTGTGAAAGAATGGCATGCCTCCTGGTATAAATATCCGCGGAGCTCAGCTCAGAAATTCCGCGGAGCTGTCCTCTGGTATAGGAATGTCGGACGGAAGCGGCGGAACGTCGTAATATCTGTGGACAAAGCTCGCCTTACATATCATTCTGCAACTAAGACACATGCTACTGCTACAGTATCCCGGGCTATTCTCGCTGCTGTGTCAGTGCTATTGCTGTCGCAAGAGGCCGTCCGAGCATGAAGCTATTCATGAACAACATTACATTCCCGAACCAGGAGGCTCGGCTTTAGGGTGAACTTCATTTGGAATACCTTCATCGAATGAGCAGCTATTGATACGCCCCGGAGAGCTTATTGGAATGCTAATTTATCGCTAATCATTCTGTCATCATGCCGGGGTATCTAACGAGGACGGAAGCGGAAAACAGAATCAGCGCAATGAGTCGTGAAGTCATCGATATTGATACTGTAGTGTCTTCACCTCTGTATTTAAAGGGCACGCGACCTCTAGCTAGAATTGGTCCCCTAGGCATCAGTCTCATATTTCGTTGATTTTCGTGGTCAATATCCCATAACGTATCAGAGAGTCTTCAGTTGGACTCTTCCATCTCAACTTTTCTCTATCTCTGTGTGCTACTGCGCAGCCAAGTCGTTCTTCGACACTCTTTCCTCTCCAAGTAACTTAACCTATCGGCGATCTCCAACAACTACAAAATGGCTTCCGAAGTGGCGTACATGCACCCAGCCCCGGCCGTCGAACCGCTCGTGAAGGATACCCACGCTGCGTTCACTGAGCCCTTTGCCCACGATGCCGTTCGCGCGATTATATCGCAGAAGATCTCCAACCTAGTTCTTCTGCCTGAGACCGATCTGGATGCGAACCAGCTTCTGAACGAGGCTGGTATGGGTTCCATGCTGACTGCCGAGCTTCGGATGTTTATCCACAGCACTTTCGAAGTCGATGTCCCCTTCGACGTGCTTTTCAAGAAGGCAACTTTGAACAACCTGACCGATATGATCGCCCAGGATTTGCAGGCTAGTGCTTAGGCACTTCGTTGTCGCGCCTTATTGTTGGGCTGACGCGACCGGGGATGCTTCCATAATGAATAGTGGTAATGTTAGTAATGATATGGAAGTGGTTGACCACTGGAGGGTATATTCCTTGAATCAAAATTTTGTAGGTACTTCGTAGAGACAACACATTAGGAAGCCAGATTGTCTGGCAAAGTGCCATTCTGAACAAAAGGGGGAGAGCATCAGGTTTAAGTGATGCTGTTGGACCCTTTCTGCTGTCACTTTCATCCTCTCACACCATCGCTGTTTCATCCTCGCTGGCATCTCGCCCCCATTCGAAAAAGGGTCCTGCTGACATGCTATTTTCAAGTCGCTGTGCAGCCATTGGGGTCTATTCCTTTCAGCTCGTATTCTAGAAAGTCCCACGGAATCCTTCCGTTACTTTTAGCGTGATGTTTGTTTTTTTCCCTGGCTAAGCGAACACCATCATCGCCAATGGGATTCATACTACGCGATCATATTCATTTCGCGTACCAAACTAACAAAAGTCAACGAGAAGAATCTTCACTGCTAAAGAAAACCGGATGAGACATTTCCAATCACGATGCTCTTTCTGTCTTAAAAACCAAAACAATGCTGATCCTTTCCTATTCTTTCATTCAGGAACCGAAGAATGCTATCGGCCCGCTAAGTGGAGATCTTGCGAACGTGGATGACGCTCACCGACCAGCCCTAAGCCCGACGGGTCATTCCGCCACGTACTGAGGTGCAAAACTTAATCGCACAAAAATAGACAAAACTGGCCGGATGTCTCAGGAACGGACCCATCTAACTACCGACACTTGAAGGCTGGGGCCACCATGCCATCGTCTTTCCGTGGATTACGACACTTCCGCTTGAAATAGTAGCCATCGTGCTTGCTAGTTACGTAACAACTAGCTTGGCCTTGTTTGTTTTGGTTTACGACCTTGTTATTCCTTGTTTATCTTGTACGGCTCTTGCGAAGGTTACTTGAAGCTTTGTGGCTTCAGCCATTGCCGCAGAGTCTATGACGCTGCGTAAGATATATCCGGCAAGCGGAGTGCCCAGTGTCCTGCTGTACGAGAACAATATCAAAAACTGCATTATGCCTTATTGTGTACTCCGTATACACACTACAAAAGCTAGGTCTCGAATTGGACGGCGGAGTAGGGGCGGATCCCATAGTTTCTATGGAGTCCATCCCTAGCCCAACTGCTCCGCAGGCTTACATAGGACATGTATTCAGGCTGGTGGCGATTGCTGTCTGGTTCTGCGGAGGACCTGGACACGCTTCCTGTCCAACCATAGCACAATTTCAGGACCCAGGTCATCACAGCCCATTGGTAATTTCGAATTGCTGATCCGCACACTTGACGAAATCTTCTGGATGATGAGTATTACTCCGGAGGATGATTACTTGGACCGGCTTCTAGCCCGACTAGTAAAGCTTTCAGTTGGGTTCAAGTGCACATCTAAGTGGACACCGGCATTTGTTCCTGGACGCTGTACCACCGGGCTCCGGCCTTTAAAGGAGGTTTCAGCCAAAAAGTCTCGATGGCCAGAAAATTCGAAAACTACAAGGGGAAATGTCACGCAAGCATGCTCGCAATTCCATGGTGGAAGATGTGGTCATTCCTGCCCATCTCCTGGCCGCCACCACCCAAGTAAATGGTCCCTGGGCAGCTCGGGATGACGAGTCCTCTGCGTCTGGACCTGGCCCTGTTCATCAGGCCATCCGCAATGAGGCATTGGAAAGACAACTTGGTCAACTGCGCCGATCAGCCAGTGTCAACAGCTCGCACCCACAAAAGCCTAAGGATACTAGCCTCCGGCGCCAGAGTGCGCCCTTGAGTGTATCTGGGGTATCTACGATTGCAGAAATCGAGCCAGCACAGCTCTCTCCCAACGGATTTTCTCATTTCCAGTGGCAGCATGGCCAGGACGACCTTGGAGCACACAGCAGACAACTGAGCGAGTCTATTCCGGCGACGAGGGGTGACGCGTGGCCTCTTCCACCCCGACCTCACAGTTACCGTATCTCCCGCATTGAGCCGACAGAAGAACCTCCCCAAGGGACAAACCGGCACAGTATATACGATGTGTACGAGAAAGCCAAAGAAAGGCGTGTCGCGCTGCAGAGAAAGTACTGGGTGCAGGTCCTGTTTGAATATACAGTCTATATCTTCCTCTTGGCCTTCATCTACTTTGTCCTCATTGGCATGCCTCTTTGGCGGGGTGCCGTGTGGTGGCTCTACTACGTAGTGCGTACCAAGTTTGTCATCCCAGGTGGATGGGGAATCACAATTGGCATTGCTGTTCTGTAGGTATCACACATCGTCTTCACGGCAAGAAACTAATGATTTACTATAAAGCTACGCGTTTACTCCCTTGTTACTTCTCTTCGAAAAGAACCCTCCCCCGGTAAACAGCGATTCCAAAGAGGCCGACCTTGAGGGCAATCGAAACTCTGCGAAAAGTACAGCCCTCTTAATACCCTGTTATAAATCTGCCAATATCATTGGCCCTACACTCGACGCGGCGCTACAGATCTTTCCGCCTGAAAACATCTTCGTCATTGCGAACGGCAACTCTCCAGAGCCATTAGACAACACTGAAGAGGTATGCCGCCCATACGGCGTTAACCACCTCTGGTGTCCAGTTGGAAGCAAAATTATCGCTCAGTTTGTTGGCTGCTACGCGGCCAAAGACTTTCCCCATGTTCTCCTGATTGACGACGACTGCGCACTGCCTCCAAACTTCCCTGTTGTTAGTGACCGACTGAAGGGCCGTATACAATGTATCGGATACACTATTAAGAGCGTCGGGCCAGAGTCCTCACGCGGGACCCTATGCCAGCAGGCGCAGGACCTCGAGTACAAGATATCAGGCCTTCAGCGTGCATTTGCTGGTATCCTTGGCAGCGCCACATTCCCGCATGGAGCCATCTCTTTATGGAAGACCGACTTCCTCAAGCAGACCTTCCATGACCATCCAGGATTCTCTGTGTCCGAAGATTGGTTTTTTGGTGATAGTTGCCGTCGACTAGGTGGGCGCATTACCATGTGCTCCGCCGTATTTGTTGAGACAGAGACCCCATCTGCAGTCTTTCTCAGTTCAGGAGGCTCGCGAGGAGGTTTCGGTGAAATGACCATCTTCAAGCAGAGGTTCACGCGATGGAATTTCTTCTTTGTCAACGGCATGTGGTACAACATGAAGTATATCTTGTGCAGCTGGAATCTCGGATTCTGGGAATTGGGTGCGAAGCTGTTTGTTTTTCAAGAGGTTGGTTCTATCACTGCGAAGATGTGCTATGGCACAGGAAATAAGATCTCCTGCTTACTCACTAAAACCAGGTCTACGAAACACTATTATACCTCCTCGCGCCATTCGTCCTACCGATCTCCCTTGTTGTACAGCCAGCATTCTGCGGCATCATGTTAGGCGTCACCAACGGCTTGTATTTTCTAAACGTCATCATCTTCAACCTGGTACATCTACGCCTGAAGAAGGAAACCGTCTCCTGGAAATGCTTGCTCCTTTACTACATGCCGTACAAAATCGTCCTCTTCATCATCAACGTCGTCAGCTGTTATTGGTCCCTCTTCAAGTACGCCCGGTACTTTGCCACGAGACATCCCAAGGTCATCGAGGATGACAAGGCTGTGGAGGTGGTGCTGCGTCTTGAAGATACCACAGAGAAAAACAACGAACCTAAGCCGACAAACAAGGCACCGGGTCTTGGTCGGAGCTTCTCCGTGACTAAGGTCAGGGCGAGGAAGACTAGCAATGCCAGTGCGAAGCCATCGGGACCTGGTGTTTCTGTTGCTGGTACTGATGGTTCTTGGATCTGAATGAACCGTCACTTTTCTTGGTATATATTTAGACTAACTTATTTTACCTTTAATGTATATAATTCTTGTGAAAAGCCTATAGAGTCGTTCAAGCGTATGGAAAATCTATTGATTCATTGACTCTTCTCCGGGTTGTAGGGCACTAGCAGGGGGGAAGGTTCTCTGGACATTCAACCAAATTCAATGAATTTGTGATGAGTGTCCTATTCAAGCATTCCCTAGTTATATCTGTGAAGTGTGCGGAGGCCCATTCTTATCAGCATATTCCCTCTGCGAGAACCTGGCTTCTGTCACCTTAGATCTGGGAATAAGTGGATAAGTATAAGGTGCTTCTATTCATTGCCAGAATGCTATTCACGTCCCCTGATAACCTGAAAGATATTGACCCAACCGGAATATTCCATCCATGCTTGCAGTGAACAGTCTGGAAGATCTTGAGCTTGGAACATGTCCAGGGAATCTGCCGGCGCTGGATTGGAACATTCCACATGTATTAATAAATTTAATGCACGTCTTTGCCCATATTACAGGGCTTCGTACCTTGTACTTATGTCCTGACCTTATCCGGGTAGAGATCATGGTTCTCTTTGAAGTAGGCAAAGCCCTACACGCTTCTTCTTCGCGATGAGTCGACCTTGGATCGCCTTCACTAACGTCTATATCTGGAGGGAATCTATGTACAATCACCTGAGGAAAGCCACGTATCTTCACATCCATTCTATAGTGCATATACGTAAATGGCAACCTTCACTCCAATCATATGAAAGACTGGACTACTATATCCGATTCATTAGAAGAATATTTAATAAGCAAAAAGAGCAATTTAATACCGAAAACAATATTTATAAAGATGCAGCCAACCCCCATCGGCCATCTTTCTCTTCTACACATTCGATCGATCTCAGTCTTACGTACCCGGTCGGGCCCTGATAGAAAGATGACCCGTCCTTCATGTTCTACGATTCATCCCATAAAACATGGTACGCATCATCCCATTGTCGCTCGAATCCAAAGATCTAGAGCTGTTTCCATCAATTGAATGGGCTCTTGAATTATTCAGTTCTTGAGGAATCACAGAGCTTGCGAAAGCTCTTCACTATGTCTGGGAGGGAAAATGATCGAATACATGCACGCCACGCGGGCTATAAGACTCGATACATCCTTGCATCAGGACTCATGGATCGTAAGTGCATGGGGTATTGGTCTTGTTTTATCTTGCATGCTGAAATTATGATATAGACTTCATTATCATAACCATATTCCCTACATCCTCTGCCACACTCATACCCTTCTGCCTCGACCTGGAGGCATTTTGGAGGCTCCAAATTGATTTCCTATAGAACGATAACCGAAGGCCTTTTGAGATCGTCTTCAAGACGAGCAGTGACAAAGTTGATACAAGTCTAAGGGACACTAGCAAAGCCATACACTAAGGCTACGACCCTGCCAATGTTTTATTATGTCGTTCCTCAATATCTGCATACGGAGATACCAAATAACAAGAGCTACCCTATTCGTGGGTCAGGTCTCTAATCGGTATCCAAAGGAAATAGAGAGAGGGCACAAGTACTATAAAGGGGCTGGAAAGACCCTCGCGGTACTAAGAAGAAAAACGAGGAGGAAATGGGCCTGCTCAATAAGCCAAGCAACAAAGGCACATATACTATAAACCCGCTGAAAAAGCGCATGCGGCAGCTAAAAGGGAGCATAAAAAGATGGATCCAATCCATAATATACGGGGTTACAAAGGAACAACAGCTTCCATAACCATGAGTCAAGGCACCCAACCCGTATATTCAAGGAAACAGAATAGTTATATGGGTTGTTGGGGCTGTCAACGAGGCTCATGGGGCAGTTGAGGAATATTCAAGAAGAGCATTTGCCTAATACATTTCTCCCGGAACTTAGTATAGGACCACGACATATCTCTAGGTCAAACACTGCCGGCCGAGGACAAAATAATTAGTACGCCATGCAACGCCCATGGAATACCGCTGGCCAGTTTAATGACAGCCACATTCATCTTGTTACTTCACACTCCCAGAGCATCGATCGTGTCAAACCCCGCCCCATTAGCCTCCTGTCGTTGAAGCCACACCCGTATCGCCCTTTTGCTTGAACTTTCTTACGGTATCCAGCAAAAGGTGGTGCCGGTATTAACCCTGACTGGCGACATTGAGAAAGCCATCTATTAGCCGTTCAGGCTGCTTATGGTAACACGGATCACTCAGATTCTACTGAATTCCACAGTCGCTGATAAACCATCCCTTCTAGATCAGGAAAATGCCAGACACCCAGCACCCAGGCACCTGCGGTGCGTGCGGAGTAGCTCTTAACTTATCACTCAAAAATCCAAATGCGGAACCCAAAACTGTTTGCATGATTGATTCCGCGCACCTACGAGAGCCACCTATACTATTTGATATTATTGGTGTGAGCCCTCGCATGCCGTACATCTGCCTCGGGGACCGGTGCCGGATAATGGGCAGACAAATGCTCGCCCGTTATTTCAGCTACTACTGCGAAGCCTGCCCAACACAATTGAGCGTCTCCGAGGTCGGCAAGGGGTCAAACAGTTGCGATGTTACTGTGAAATATAATCGCTGCGGTGACTGTATCGATCGGACTACGGTGTCCGACGAACAGAGTACACAGGAACCAGATTCTGCGAGGTCAGGGATCCTAATATCTCAATCGATGTATGACGGGGTTTCTTACTGGGCTGTGTCAGATCTTATGGCCCTATTCATGAGCAAGCTCGGATGCGCGCCTGTCTATGTCAAGCTTACAGACGTGGCATTGGGCCGCTCATCAAGCTTTACATGTGGGGACATACAAGAACCAGGGCTCACACAATAGCAACTGTTCCGGTCTGAACAGCCTGCACTGCAGAATGATCACCGTGGGCCCAAACAAAATTCGGATAAAGACGATCGATTCATCACAGGGCGGCGAGGAGTCCGTCGTGATCCTCGATGCATCTAAATGGCGTGAAGCAGTGCATCGTGAGATGCGAGAACAGATCAAGCAAGGCACCTTCCGTGTAGTCCCGCGTCCCCATAATACACGGCTTCTTCCGCTCAAGTGGGTATTCAAGATAAAGCATGACGGCACTTACAAGGCCCGTCTTGTTGTCAAAGGCGACCGCGACGGACAGTCTAGGGTTCCATGAAGATCCGCAATATATCACATCGTCAGGGTTGTCGAATGGAACAATATGTACAGAAATGGCGCTTCCGCTACGTTGACAAGAGGACCAATACGCAAAAGGGAATTCAACCGCTGTCTTAACGATTTCTGGAAGGGTCTCCTGATCGAAGCGCCAGAAATGGCAGTAATCAAAACTTCGGTACCTAATCAGTACGGACTTCTTACTCAAGAAATATTGTTTCCTTCCCCACTTTCCCAAAACTGCTTGCCTCGTCGTTCGGCGTTGCCATGTCTATCACGACATACCTGTTACAGATATGAGCTGGAAGGGGAAGCTCACTGCTGAGACATACATATCGTATAGAATATATGGCTCACCTCAAACCCGGAGGACAATATATACCCCGTTTTTGTTAAACCCGAAGATAGCTGAGACCTAGGCCAGCAAGAGAACACCACTGCCACGCAGCAGACTTCAAAGGCAAAGGCGAATCTGGCGCAATAGCAAAAGTATATCTAATAGGTTTAAGTAAACCAAGCATATTTCAGATGTCCTGCCCAATCGTGGCTGATCTGCCACCATATCTTTCGGCAGTCCAGTCATCTCTGAGCCTGTCGTACACAGAGGACACAGAGAGTCTCTCGGCCCAAGTGGTCTAAGTCACCTGTCCAAGTCCCTGTCGTGCCTCGATACATGCACGAGGTTACACCTGTGTGTGCGGGAACATACTGCAACATTTAAGTATTGAGAGTGCAGTTGAATCCTGCCTGGTCTTCTGGGGAAAATTTCACAGCTCAGGTCGTTGTTGAAGTTGCGGGCATAGCAAACTGCAATATATATGAAGTCCGGGTGGACGGATCCATAGCCAAAAGTCCATAACATCAGAACTTGTCTGCGAACGTGGCCTGCGAGAAAGACATCAAACGTCGGATTGCTTTACATCTTTCTATTTAGACATCGGCGAAATAACGAAGAATAATCGCAAAATAGCGTCCCAGAGCTCATTAATGTGGAGTTTCGGGTAATACCAACATTGTTGCAGATCTTATGCTGGAAACCGCGGATGTGTCTTTATTAGACCATTTCCATCTTCTTCTTCTCTATCACTGGGAATTACAGAGGTTGTACTATGATGCTGATACTGCTGATAATAATACTGTTCCTGGTGCTACCCAGTGTCAGGACCATTGTTATGACTCACAGGTTTCAGTGGTGGATATTGTTTACTGGGATCATTGAGATACACGCACGTACTCTGTCAGTTTCAATGGCTAGGAAATAGATAGTAAACTATGAATGCTATGAATTCTATTACCAATGTTTGCTGTTTGTATCGAGTCCTTGTAATTCATCAAGCCCGGGGGGGAAATGCTTTGAGTAGGGAAAGAATTCAGAGAAATGGGGGCTCCTATTTACAGAATCCAGGTAGATTCAAAGTGGAAGTAGTCTCCTCGTAGAGATCTATATGGGTCGAAAACAATGTCATCATTTCTACGATTTCCCTAATATTCAATTCATGGCTTTTTGTTGGTTCTCGTTCATAGAGTTGCAAGATGCTAGGACCCCATAACGTCCGAGGCAAGTTTTCTGCTTTAACACTGCATAAGTTGGGTAGCAATAGCATGCTTTTAAATGACCCATGGGTTATTATGATTACAGTTTTATTCCTTATATCTAGAACTCATAGTTACCACAGCCTTTCTACTCTAATATCAGTGTCCATCACTTCACCCAAGCAGCAAGTATTAAAAGTACGATTCCACCTTTTGCTCCTAAGCAGTATTGCGAATCTTCTCATATTCAGGCAGTGCCCATTTCACCATCCATTCCGACTCAAGGACCTGTTGAGCAGAAGGGCGATCTTCCGGCCTGAAGCGAAGCATAGAGCGTAACATCGAGATGAAAGCATCCCGTTCTCTTGATTCAAAAGGCGGCATTCCCTCACGAATTCGCGACTGCTGCATGTGTTTTTCGAATCGATCCTCCCATGACCGGGTCGAAGATGTGGAAGGTTGGTGAGTCGACTTGCTATCCTTGTTTCGAATTTCTTTCCATTTTGTGAGCCACTCGGAAGGCAGCGGGCCAAGTAGGTCAACTTGTTGGCTAGTCATGTCGTCATCATTTGTAAGGAGGCCTTCAAATAGTGTTCTTTGTCCCATAATATCCCAGATGGTGCAAGCAAGTGTCCATATATCGGACGAAAAGGTCAGGGGCCGGGTTGGCTCAAACCGGGCCTCTGGGGGACGGACCAACAGAGGTGTATGAGACTCGAATTTTTGTTCGTGAGTCGGACAGAATGCCTCACCAAAGTCTGAAACCAGAATCTTAGCTTCCGGGAGCGTCACATCTTCACTTGCTTCTCCAAGCCATATAGGTACTACACCATGTTGTGGCACATCTGGCGGGATCTCTTTACCATCTAGTCGATTGACTGGCTCGAGAACCGGCTCTCCATACTTTTCGTACAGCATTTCAGTCGATAGCTCGTCAAAGTCACGGGAAAGCCGAAGTAGAATATTGCCACGGTGAAGGTCCCCATGGACAATACCTTGGGAGTGGATGTACTGGACAGCAATCATGAGCTGCGCTACTATCGCTCGGGATACCTCAAGCTGAAAGAGACTGATCCATGATCCATTCTTTGCATCCGACAGGCTCATTCGTGCTGGCCTGGTGACCAAGCAGGTGTGGTTGCCATTGGGGCCTTGTATGTTGAAGATATCTGAGATTGTAGGGATCAAATCATGGTCTATGTGTGTCGATTGCTGGGGTTGCGACAGGCTAGACAGCACATTCTCCTCGCGGGGATTCGAATCCGCCGTACAGATTTTTACTGCAACATATCGATTGGAAACTTCATCACGGGCCAGCCAAATGGTCGAGTATGTACCATGACCGAGTTTATGAACTACCCGATAGCGATGGTGGAAATAGTCCCCGATTGTGACTGAATGATAGCCCCCAGCTTTATAATATTCCATTCTTTCCACATCTTCGATGGGTTCGTACAGGACACGCGTGGTTTTCTTGACAGGTACTGTTTCTTTGTGGCTAGTTAAAGAAAATACATGAGAATTTCGATAAGTAATAAATGGCTGGCTGGCTCTGAGAGAGAGTCCAGAGACGTTTAAGCGTATGGGCTGCCTGAGCAAGAAGCATGGCTTTCTCATGTTGCTATTGCAGTATTAGCTTCTCAAAATGAGTTCACGTGTAGAATATGGAAAAATCTTACAGAACAATGTGACTATGCATCAGTCAGATGCGAGTAGGAAGATGGATGGTGGGGAAATAGCGATAGTAAACGTGCAGCCAAACACGCAGCGGTAGGAGAAGAGACGGTGGAGCAGCAGCAACACAGCATAGATCGATAAGGCACCCAAGCATTTCCGATCTGCGCCCTGATCCACCATCACATTCCAACGTTCAATGACAATAGAGCGGACAATAACGCAACGTATCGTTCAATCAAACCAATAAATTATTCTATTTAATGTTCAGGTACAAAGTCGGTACCCAGTGTCTTACATCCTCCACGCTGATTCGCGAATTCCAGCATCGAGCCTTGCTGTCGATCGCATCCCATCCCATCATCCCAGCCACCGAATAATCCCCAAAACCCACCTAACGTCAATGCGCTCCGCCCCATCACTTCGTCTTTTCCACCCTCTTCTTCTTTTCATCTACATTCCCTGCCTTTTAGCATTTTCCTTCTGATCGTGAGGTCATTATCCCACTACATCCATGTCTACTACACCACCACCACCCTCCCCTCGATGAGCCATATCCATCTACTACAACTACTACAACTGGATCTACCCGCCTGGTGATCCCCGCCTCCACAATAATCTCCATCTCCATCTCCACCATCAATAAACCACAATGACACCGATCCCGATCCCACGAATACCACCACCACCAAACCTCAACCTCCACATCTCACTCCCCTTCACACAAAAAACCCAACCATCCTCTCTATCTCTCCGAAACATCATCCCCTCCGCCCTCCTCAAACGCTCCTCCGCCGCCTTCATCCCCGGAACCTACAACAGCAACGGCCTTTCCCCCGGTGCCGTCGCCGGCGTCATCATCGGCAGCGTCCTAGGGTTCATCTTCCTCCTATACTTAATATTCCTCGCTTTGGGTGCCGGACGGCGCTTCTCCAGCGAACCCAGCACGGCGACGTCGGCAACAATGTCAGAGGTGGTGGTGGAGGAAGAGGGAAGCTCGATTTCGCGACGACCATCGCGACGTCGGCGGCGCGAGGTTGTCGAGGAGGTCATTGAGAGCGGTGGGACTCGGCGGAGTCGCAGGTCAAGAGCCAGTCGGGGGAGGGATTCGCGTATTGTTGTGGAGGAGTCGGTTACCTCGTCTGGTCCGTCGAATGTGGTTGAGGTCGAGGAGGAACATTCCAGTATAGAGGGTTCCGGGGGCCATGGGCGGAGGAGACGCAGTCGGCCGGGACATTATCGGGCTGTAGATCCGTTGGCGTATGGGGGGTTGACGGAGGATGAGAGTTTGAGGTCGTAGTTGCGGACCCCGTGTAGTGGGTGTGTTGAGTGATTGCTATTGTGTTTTGTTATATAACGCTGTCGACGTGATTTGGTCCTGACCCTTCGACGATGATTTGATACCCTGCCCTGTGATATTTTTATGATGATGTTTGAATTGCGAGTCAGTTTTGCACGCAAAAGAATTCATGCACACGGAACTAGAAATGAATAATGTTAATTACTACCGATATAAGAATGATTGGATTTCAACGAAAGTGACCGACTCGAGTAGTCATCCATAGACCATGCGCCGTTAAGCGCCGACGCCAGTCAAACCTGACCTGACCTGACTGACCCGACTGAAAATCAACCAAATATAGAAACACAGGCAAAAACCCCGCGCGCGAACCGTGCTCCGTGAATCCTTGCGCCCAACCAAAGAATAGCAATACAGTATCAGTAGTAGTAGTCAATCGCATCCAATCTAGACGAGAAGAAAACGCAGACACCAAATCCAAACAGAAGTTAGAAATCACTGAAGACAGCACTCCTCTCATCTTAGAACAGGATATCCAAGCAGCAACAGCAAGCCAATGCAGCCATTATACCCGCGCAGATACCACCTCCCGAGGATCCGCCCCGGTCTTGTCCGGCATAGTAACCTTGTTGCTGCTGCGGCGGAGGATAGTACATCGGCTGGCCTTGAGGCGGAGGAGAACCGTAGTATCCCTGCTGCGGCGGGGGACCATAGCCCTGAGGCGGATATCCCTGGTTGTAGCCTTGTTGAGGGTAACCGCCCTGCTGGTAGTAGTCTTGCGATGCGCCCTGGTGGTAGGGACCGGCGTCGTGGGTCGGAGGGGGGTAGGACGGAGGAGGCTGGTCCTATGGTTCAATATCGGTCAGTTGTGTAGTGAGACGTGGCGAGAAGGTTGACTCAACGTACAGGTTTGTTGTAAGACATCTTTAATAAGGAGACAGTCGCAAGTCTTCCAGACGCGATGATCAGTGATTATGCGTTCTTCTGTTCCAGTAAGGAATGCCTGACGGCGCAGTTTTAGGCTTCTGGTAGGAATGACAGTCTTTTCTATGATGCGGAATGTGCGGAGAGGCAAAAGAGGGGAGGTGATGGATGTGAGGAGAAAAAGTCGGGAAAAGAGACGAGAAGAAGCGCCGAGCGAAACCAACGATTGATGGCAGCTTGGCGAGTGGTCCGGATTAGGCAACCGGCTATGTCGGTCTACGCGGGCGGAATTGGGGATGTTGGGGAGGACAAAGATGTCGTGCAGATGCCAACTACTTGGCTTAGGTGTCTACAGTCTCGTGGTGCCAGAGGAAACACACAAACATTGGAGTGTTTCTGTCACACAGCGTCTTCTTTCATCCGAGTTGCTGATGAAGCGTAGGCTGCCCTGAACGTGACTTCGCTACCGAATCGGTGGTTGGGGAAAGAGGGGAAAACATGACGAATATCTTATCTTGGCGTGGTGGCTGATGATGGTTGCCATTTTTAGTATTTCCTTGTTACCAATCTCTCATATAATGGCAATACAAGTCTTAACTCATAACAAGAACCCCCGATGGTCTAGTTGGTTATGGCGTTCGGCTGTAATGGTAATTATTGTAACCGAAAAATCACCAGTTCGATTCTGGTTCGGGGGATCATCTTTTTGGTTTTCTTTTTCCCCTTCTTGGAGACCCACGACTCAAGTTAAATGCACCAACTCTCTATTTTTGTTTCCTGCTGTACATAGACACTAGAGTAGTACCTGATACGATTAAATTTTGCAGTTAGGTGGATTTAGTACGACAGTAGTATGTGTACGCTAGTACTTATTAGTAATGTTCAAAAGAGCCATACCTTAACCATGACACTGGTATATATATTGAACGGTCAGTAGAAATCCCAAACAATGAAACAGCCTGCATAGTAATTTAATACTTGCGAGGTAGGATAATTGGGACCAAGAGTCAAGTACATTGACTGATGTATTCTGTTCTACAAGCTCCCCAACTCGGCAGATGATAATCATATCCATTCTTTCCAGCGTGGGCCAGCTGGTGAGGTGCCCATGTACCTCCTGCATGTTTAGCGCCAATGATCCCACATTGAGAGCCACTTAGCAACCAGCACATTAACCCGAGGCTGAGCAGCAGGTTTGGTTCCTATCGCCTTTAAATCAGGCAACAAACGCCTGACGACCTTCCTCTTTTCAGCCTCGCGAGCCGAACATATTCAGTCCAGCACTGTACCACTGATCGGTTTCTACTGCGATTGCACTACAAGGACTTTTCAAGACCTCACAGCGTCCCAGAATGCCACCGTGCAAGACTGGGTGTCTTTCGACATTGCTTGGGTGTTTTAGGAAAGACAGACATGCAGAGGAAGGAAGGTTCGAGGCAGACGACCAAAAAGTCGAGGAGAATGACGAGAGCACCTCTGAAAAAGGCTCTCCCAGCAGTGACGCTGCTGGCAACGTTAGTCAAATCACAGAGGTTCGACAAGATGATGAATCACCGGTTATCAGCAACACTGCTGCACGCCACCGACAACAAACAACCAACCAGGCGGTTTCTGTCCACAAAGCTCTCTGGGATAAGGCCTATAGTAACCTCAAAAATGACCCGGAAAAGGCAGAATACGTCTCGGGGTACGAGGAACTGCTTGCGAAGGTATTTTTGAACCAATCCACGGCCGAGAAAGCAGTCCGAACGAACGAGTCTTCTCAACACCTCGGAGAAGAACAAATGAAAAAAGTGGTCGAAGAAGGCCTTGCGAGAATTGAGAAATACAAGAGAGCTATTGAGCATTCGGAGAGCACTGTCAATGTAATTAAGCAGGTCAAAGCCATTCTTGACATTCCTCTGAAGAATGTCTCTCAGACTGCACTGCCGTGGGCCGTCATCTCATCAAGCGTCGATGTAAGTGTTCTAACCCTGATATTCCAATACAGACACTGAGAAACTACCACTATGACTAGATACTGCTTAAGCCAGTCAGTGTGGGAGCAGCTCTCTACAACGGCGTAGCATATGCGATTTCCAGAATCGAGTGGTACTCAAAGTTGACTAACAAACTCCTATGCGCGGACAGCATAAAAGATGAAAAGTCGCTACACGGGATACGAGAGGACATAGCTGGGCGAATCACGTCGTTATACGAGTCACTGTTGTTCTACCAGATCAAGAGCGTCTGTTTCTACTACAAAAAGTATCAGCTCTTAGTGTGGGCCCGCGGGTTGCTGGAGCTGGACGATTGGAGTGGCGATTTAAAACATATTCAAGAGGCAGAAGATGCTCTTGCCAGAGATTGCGCGCTTTTTGACATGGAATACATGAAGGGTCAAATGAAAGCGATGATCATGGACACCAAGACAGCGGAAGACTCCCAGGAGTTTCAGAAGCGTCTGCAGGCTATACGCCGCGTGGATCCGCAGGCTACTGTAAAAACCATCGAAAGCTTAAAAGAGAGTGTCATGGATGATCTATATACTTGGATTTTTGATACTGAGCAATTCAAGGATTTTATGTGTTGGGAAGAAAACGCGCCTAGACGACTGTGGATCAGTGGGCAGGCTGGAACTGGAAAGACAATGCTTTCAATAGGGACTATAAGAGAACTGCAAACACGTGGCCTCAGGCAGCCAGAGCCCCCCACGATCCTTTACTTCTTCTGCCAACACACAGATGCAGATTTGAACAACGGGGTTGCAGTACTTCAGAGCCTTGTGTGGATGCTTCTTCGACAACAGCCCCACCTAAGCTCACATCTTGACGAGCAATTCTCTCATTCAGGACAAAAGTTTATGAGTGATTCCAATTCATTCGCTACGTGGTGTGATCTTTTGACAAGTATGCTGATAGATTCAGCTCGTGTCGTTATTGCCGTCGACGCTGTTGATGAATGTGAGGAAGGTTCGCGCAAGCAACTATTGCGATTTTTGAGCGGCATGATTGCGAAGGAAAGGATGTCTCACGTCAAATGGTTCATTACCAGTCGGCCTCTATTGGATATTCCAGACAGCAGATTTGAGACAACACTACGTTACCATACGCTTCTGACGCTGGATGATCAGAATCTCAATCCCTGGATAAACTCTTACATTGATCGAAAGGCTCAGGCGCTTCGGAACAAAGCTAAGAATCAAGAGCGCGTTCAAAGGATTAAAGATCATTTACGTGAACGAGCCAGCAACACGTATATTTGGGTTTCTTTGGTGTTCGAGGAGTTAGAGAATGCACCCGAGGCCCGGTGGCAGAAAATCATTGAAGATACCCCACGTCAGCTGAATGAGTTATACACTTATCTGCTCAGGCAACTGCCCTGGTCAGAATGTAAAACCGTTCTGTGTGTTGCAATGGTGGCACGCCGGCCTTTGTCTTTATGGGAAATTGAGCAACTTACGGAAATGGAAACAGGTGTCAATGCAGGAAGGGACTATGTAACTGAGTGCAGGTCGTTCCTGAGTATTCGTGGCGAGACAGTGTATTTCATCCACCAGTCTGCTCAGGACTGGCTACTCTTGAACCAGCACCAGCTTTGGGATGGATCTCCTCAAAACGCTGAGGTTTTCAAGAAGAGCACCCACCGTGAAATTCTGGAAAACTCATTGAAAGGAATGATGGAGACTTTGAAAGAAAATATATATCAGCTTCCTCATTATGGTGTCTTATCAGAAGAGGTGGAGACTCCCTCACGAGACCCACTTGCTGCAATTCGCTATTCCTGTCAATACTGGGCTTACCACCTCAAGGAAGGTGAGCTTATGACAGATATTGACATGCTTGGCTTTTTACGTCAGCGCTTTCTTCACTGGCTGGAGGCGTTGGCCTTGATGAGAATCATGCCCGAAACAGTGGGAATTATTGACATGTTGAGCTCCACGCCCGCAGTATGTAAAGGCTGATAATATTTGATTTTTGATTATACCATGTCCCTGACACACAAGCTTAGATGAAGTCTGATTCTGAAATACGCGAATTTTTGCTGGATGCAAAGCGATTTGTCTGGAGGCACCAACAATCGATTATGACCGCACCACTCCAAGTCTACGTATCTGCGCTTATATTTACACCAAAGGCCAGCTTAGTGCGAGATACAGGAAGTATCCCGAAATGGATCGACCAGGGACCAAGCTTGGAAGAGGATTGGGGGCCTCTTTTACAAACCTTCCCAGTTTCTATGCGTGCTCTTTTTGAAAAGTGCTCTGTCTCCTGGTCACCTGACGATCAATTAATTGCAGGCTTCCCAAAAGGAGAATTGAGGATATGGGATGCAGGAACAGGAAAAATGGTCAGGAAAATTGATGTTGAGGAAGATTTCAGGCCGGAGCTTAATGGCATGCTGAAGAAAGATGTGCCTCCCGTCACCTTCACCCCAGACGGTCAATTGTTGCTTGCACTAATACTGCATAAAGTGTACATTTGGGATACAGCTACATGGGAAGTCTCGCATATAGTAGAATGCCCAGATGCTATAAAGAGATTTGCAGTATCTCCCAACAGCCAGTTACTGGCTTGCTTCCAAATTGGCGGAAAAATATACCTATGGCAGAGAAACGGCAACTTGTGGACTCTGAAGTGGACATACCAGAGCCCATTGGCAAGTCCGAAATATGAGCTACTAGCACCGTCGGGTCTGTCGTTCTCATTTGATAACCGCTTACTCGCTTCTACTATACATCATAATAGCATAGGGTTTTTGGACACTGAACTCGGCCAATTACAGGAAGAAGTCGTGCATGAGGGGGTAACTGCAATCAAGTTTTTTAGGGACGGCAAACTTTTGCTACAGACAGTTAGGACTGTCGAGATATGGCGGCAAAGAGACAAGTGGGAATTGGACTGCAAAATCGATTTACGATGGTCGGTCAATTTCCTTGCAGTATCTCCCGATGGCAGGTTTATAGCACTGGCACAAGCTGATTCGAATATACATGTGGTAGAGACAGAGGAGGGTGTGGTGGTGCAAACTCTGGGGGGTCACACAGACGCGGTTGACGATTCAGCCTTCTCTTCAGACAGCCAATTCCTTCTGTCCAGTGGAACCGATAATCGTGACCATAAATCGATCAAAGTATGGAGAATTGTACCTGGAAAGCTTCACGAAGCCCCATTAGAACGACATGGACGGATTACAAGGGTGGCACTTTCTGCGGATGGTTCCCGATTCGTGACAGCAAGATTTGGAGGTGTGATCGAAACATGGAATGGAGATACAGGAGAGCATCAAAGAACATTCGAGGCACCTGATGATCATCGGTTTTTCGACGTGACTGTTTCGCCAGACAACAAGCTGGTGGCATGGCTATCTTACGACGGGCTCCTCATGGTGTGGAACGCAGAGACGGGACAGACTATTGCGATGCAATGGAAAAGACTGCCAGGTCGGAACGGTTTTGCGAAAGTTCAGTCTCAATTCTCTTCCCACAGTAAACTGCTGGGCTGGGTAGACCACACGGGGACTGTCCGGGTATGGAGGATACGACCATGCAGCCTTTTGAAATCGTATCGATGGGGAAGAGGAGCTGAGTATTCTGTTTTTCTTCGAAGGGGACGGGAGAAATTGTCACTCATTCTCCAATCTCTGCAGAATGAGCCCACCATGAGTGAGGAAGTTGAATGCAGTCCAGAAGATTGTCCCTCTCACAATGATGTCGCGCATACTCCAATGATAACCATCATAAAAGACTGGGTGGTCTTAGGGGAGCAGAGAAGCATCTGGTTGCCCCCGGAATATCGGCCTCTGCACGATAAACGCTGGGATGCTCAAAGCAATGTACTAATTGTTGCACCTGAATCTGGCAGCAGGCCTTACTCCATTCGGTTCAATCCACACAAGATGTCAGCTGGGCAATTGCAACATGACGATGCTGGGAAAGATTCTGATGTCGGCTATTCAAGTGGCTTGTCCCTTTACTCTTTTAATGACGAAGATGAAAGCGATGGTTCATGATGAAGCTCAGTTTGTTCTTCGCATATCTCTCTCAAATACAGTCAGAATGATTGCTATTGAGTTGACACATAGTTTCGGTGTGCGTGTACACCAATCATTTATTTTCATCCTTTCTGAGCCTGATGGTATCTCAATTTACATGATCGAGAATAGGGTTGTTTGGCCACGTTTGTATAGCTCGCAGTCAGTGGTCTATATCTAGTCTAGGTGCATTATGCTTGCGTTACAGCTAATTCACACTCCTCTGTACTCGCTTGCTGGTGATGTAAAACCAGATTGACTATAAGTAAATATGCGCTTTCAGTAAGCTTCTTAGTACTATCTCTTGATTGTATGGCCAGTTACTCATTCCTGATCCTTTAATGTCACATGAACTCACAAATAATGTATGGTTAGTAGCCTATTTTATGACATGTTACGAATTAGATCTGTATTCATCTCAAGTATTATGCTCTGCTCTGGCGCACTTCTAAATGCACTTGCATCTCTGCTTCACCTTGTACTGCTGTCCGGAAGCTAGCAATAACAAGAAACCTCCTAAATTGATTTCAGCGAGGTCCCAGTGATGGATCAAATTACAGAGCTTTTGAAAAAATGACAAATTCTTCCTTATCCTTCTTTCTTCGGTCAACAGATCTTACATGCCGAATGGTGCGAAGACTATTCCACGGACAGTGGGTCACTCATCGCTCAGCCCCAATCTGAAACTGCGCCGAAGCTAATATGGATCAAGCACGGAGGAGCTAGGCTAATCGTGAGCCGACGAGGGTCTGGAGTCTACTTTGCACGCTAAAACAGCACCGCCACAGCAGCCTAATTGAAGGCATTCGTCATCTACAACGACACGTAAGTACGCCATTCTCTCCAATCGTGAGCTCAACTGAGAAACTGACTTTGCGAATAGGGGTTTACATGTTGGATAGCCTACGTTGCTGAAAAAAGCAGTCCGTTTCACACGAGTAGTCACCTTTTTTTCCCACGTCGAAGCTCGGGAAATTGGTACACTATGAGAATTTAGACGTGATCCGGCAGTCAGGACAAGGATTCTGTTCAGTGTGGTGCCTTCGCGCTGCAAGCAGGCAATAATTATTCGAGACGAGCCATGGATATGTTCTGGCAAGGGGTCTTGCCCGGGTCTGTCGGCTACGGAGCATACGTATGCCCCGGACAACCCTGATATCAGAGGTCTATCAGACCCTTGGAATGTCCACCAGGTTAGGCAAGGGTCTGTATCGATGCATGATGGGTCTCGACACAATTCCTCGGTCTCAGTACAAGTCCAGTTCCGGCACCTTTAGACCCGCCGAGCAACAGGAACATGAAAGGCAAATCATCCGACTCCGAACACAGTATACACACACTCAAAAAAAAAAAAAAAAAAAAAAAAAAAAAAAAAAAAAAAAAACCGATACAGTTTCAATCAATCATTCTCGATAAGCCATATCGCTCGTCCCGCTTCAGATATTTTGGCTATGGCACAAACCCCGCGCAGTCTTGCTGGCCAGCCGCTCATTCGTGGCTCACGCGCTAACTCATGGCCGCATTGCGTAAGCGCTCCACCGAGTATGTGTGGCATCGATATCAACATCTTTTCCACCGTTTGAACATGCATGAGCTGTTATGCTTGATGGCCGTATTATTTGACGGGCCCATTCGTGCACGTGTCAGGATTCGAAACCTGGTAGCAAGACGCAATCCACCCTTCTTAGCCTGTAGATCGCATGCAGCTACAGCGCGTTCCCTCACCATACTAATTTCCCTTGCTATTCTCGGCGAGCCCTACGCCTACCAGCCTTAACGGTTGGTTTATCTATGTTAAGCCAAATAAGCGCTTACGTATGTCTTCGTTTTCCGGCATGGTCCCTTCGGGTCGATCAAGTTATTGCAACAGCCGGGCTCCGCGGGGGACCGGCCAACAAACCAATGGAAAAGCTTTGGTATGAATCCTGGTGCTTTGACTTATGCACTAGCTGACTTTTTTCTGTCTTAAGGGGCTCTATGATACCCTGGTGATCTAAGCCTATTGTATAGCTTGCCAGGTCATTGCTTGAATAAGATGGGAGTGCGGACCCAGAGGGTCTTTCATCCTCCAGGGCTATTTTCCATGCGATGACTGAATCCCAAAACATGTCCTACAGAAACCTATCCAGTCTAGACGTCTCGGATAGGACAGGTCTCCCCGACTACGAGTTACACAATGTGCCTGTGGCACCGCCATATACAGCCACTGCATCGGGCCCTGCAGCTGCAGGAGCAGCAGAAACAGCACAGAAAGCAACTGTTGCAAAAGGCGCCGGAGGACCATGGTATGACCCGCGCTCATGGTCAGTGTTGACGAAATCGCTCGTCGCCGGAGGTGTGGTAGTTATCATTGTTGCGCTCGTCGTAGGCATCTACGAGGGCACGAAATCATCCTCATATCCCGATTACTCTGCCCTGAGCTATAAGCTCGCAGATACATACTCGGGCTCTTCATTCTTCGACGAGTTCGAATACTACACAGCCACCGACACAACCGACGGATTCGTAGAGTATGTGCAATTCATCCACACACATCTCCCTCCATATATACACATACAATAAGAACACAACTAACCCTACACCAGCTACGTCGACAGCACCACCGCCTCATCATTGAACCTAACCTACGCCACCAGCTCGCGCGCCGTCCTGCGCGTCGACACCAGCACCTCCAACCAAACCAGCGGCCGGAAATCGGTGCGTATCACCTCCAAGAAAACGTACAACGACGGGCTCTTCATCTTCGACATCACCCACACGCCCTACGGATGCGCCACCTGGCCCGCCCTCTGGCTCACCGACCCATCCAACTGGCCCGAACACGGCGAAATCGACGTGCTGGAATCCAACAACAAAGCCACCCACGGCAACGCCATGACTCTCCACACCTCAAGCGGATGCAAAATGAACGTCAAGCGGAAAGAAACCGGCACAGCCAAATACACTAACTGCCTCAACACCGCCAACGATAACGCCGGCTGCAGCGTAACAGGCGCAAAAGCAACCTACGGCGAGAAATTCAACACTAACGGTGGCGGCGTGCGTTCTTTCCCTCCCCATCCCCAATCCCCAATCCCCAACCCACACATCTAATTATGAATTGCCAGATCTATGCCATGGAACTCCGCCCCGCCGGCATCCGCGTCTGGATGTTCTCCCGCGACTCCATCCCCAGCGACATCTCGAACAGCAGCAACACGCCTGACCCGTCTAGCTGGGGCGAAGCGCTCGCCGACTTCCCCAATACGAACTGCGACATCAGCTCGCATTTCAAGAACCAGAGTATTATCGTTAATATTGATATCTGTGGTGATCTGGCGGGTGCGAGTACCTACTACACGGATCTGTATGATTGTCCGTCGACGTGCACGAAGTGGGCGGCGGAGAATGGGGCGAACTTTACCAATGCGTATTGGGAGTTTAAGAGCTTTAAAGTTTATCAGACGAGTTCGAGTGGGAATAGTTCGAGTAGTAGTAGTAGTACTAGTACGGTGGCGGGGGCGTCGTCGACGACGGCGGGGTGGTATGGGTTGACTGCGTCTACGACAACGACGACAGCGGCTGGGGCGGGGAGTACGACGGGTCAGGATGGAGGGGAGGGGAGTCAGAGTGGTGGGCAGGATGGGCAGACGGGGAGTCAGGGGGGTGGAGGGCAGGAGGGGGGAGTAGTAGTAGTAGTAGTAGTGGTAGTCAGAAGGAGCAGGGGGGTCAGGGAGGGTATTAATGATGCTGATAGTAATAATAGTAATATCAATTGACTACTCTTTCTGTTTCTTGGCTGAATTTCACTGTCTATGGATAGTGTATGATCGGTGAGATAATAATATCTGGCTAATGATCAGTGTCGATGACATAAAGCATCGTGGAGATGATGGCATGTACAAGACTAGGACAAAGATAATGTACAAGTCTACATTCAATTATTTGGTATGTCATCATAATGAAAATCGCTCAACGTCCTACATTCGATCCGTACAACTTGCTTTTCCAATCGCTCATTCGTTACTTACACGACACGCTGCTAAACAAATCGCTGACTGAATGCTCCTGGCTGTCGCCAGTCTCGGGACTGGGAAAGATAAGAGAGGAGAATATGGTAAGACATGAAATAAGAAAGCATAGGTAGTAAGGTAAAGGTAAGAGGAAAAAGTCAATTACACAGAAGGAAAAAAGAAAAAGGAACCCAGCCGGGCTTGGTCCGTAGAAGACCAACCGACGCTGGTAGCACGGTGATCACGCAAGAAAACCAATACCCGTGCATATTGATTTCTGTTTTCGTAAGACAAAATGGGGCATATCTCGGTAGAGGAAAGAGGAGTGATAAGGGATAGATGGGCAGGGGTCGGGGTACACAACTCCTGGATGCAAAGAGAGAAACAAAGGATCACGCAGGGTGTAAATGTGTCAAATGCGAGTCTCGAGCTTTTGCAGATCTAACAATGAGCATGGCTGATGCAAGATGCAGATGCAATGCGATGCAACACTCTATGCTTGGCGGGTGATTTAGGCCTGCTCCTCGAGGCTGGCCTTCTGGAGCTCTTCCGACACGTCGGCAGCAGCGTCCTTCTCCTGCTTCAGCTCGGCGTCAGCGGAAACCTCGCCGTTCACACCGCTGTTTTTGATAGCGGGCTTCTTGGCGGAGTCGGTGGCACCGTTGACGGCGGTCTCTTCCGCCTCGAGGCGGTCAATCTCCTCCTGGGCCTTCTTGATGTTCTGGACGGATATTAGCATTGAATCTCGAGTAAAGAAAAGGCGTTTAACTCACTTCCTCGGTCTTGGAGGCCTGGTTCTTCTTCCACTCGGTGATCTTGGCGGCAAGCTTCTCGATCACAGCAGGGACATCCGACTGGTTCATAGGAGGGTCAATCTTAACCTTGGCGAAGTCCTCGATCACACCAACGTTAAGGTTGAACTTGGCCTCAGTCGGGGTACCAGGGGCGGGGCTGCCGTTGGCGCCCTTCTTGCCCTTCTTACCCTTCTTGCCGCCAGTGCCAACGAAGTAGTCCTCCTCGCGGTCCTCCTTCTTGAGAACCTTCATACCCTTGAGGTTGGAGTCGTCCACGGTACGGCCGACATCAGCACGGAAGCTGGAGCCCTCGTCCTTCTTCTCATCCAGACCCAGAGAAACGAAGTCGTAGGAGGGGTTGAAGTGGCGGATCAGACCCTGAGCAGTGAGGATCTCATCGGTGTAAGCAAGACGAGAGGCCTCCTCCAGCTTCTTGTCAGCGATCTTCTTGCGCTTCTCGCGCTCGAAGGCATCGCGCTGGGCCTTCTGCTTCTCACGGCGGACTCTCCAGGCCTCATCCTCGTACTCCTTGTAGGCCTTGCGGGCCTTGTAGTAGTTGTCCTTGATTTCGCGGATGGCGGTCCACTTCTGCTGCTGCTCGCCGTGGAGCTTGGTGCGCTCGTCCCTCAGGGCGTTGAGGTTCTTGAAGGCACTATCCTGCTCGGCCTTGATGGCATCGAGCTCCTTCTGGATCTCGGAGTACTTGTCGCTAAGAGCCTTGGCCTCGGGGTTGTCGAGGGTCTTCTTGAGGGAAGCGATCTGGGTCTTGAGGTCGTTGATGACCTTCTGGGCCTCCTCCAGACCGGCGAAGTTCTTGCGCTGCTTGCGCAAGTTGGAGACGTCGGACAGAATCTTGCGCTCATCGACCAAGCGGAGGGTGCCGGAGTCGACCTGCTTCTCGAGGCGAGCAATTTCGCGGTCGAGTTCCTCGACATTCTTGAAGGACATGCGCGTGCGAGAGTTGTTCTGTTCGGAAATGCGAGCCTTGAGGGTAGCATCGAGGGCATTGATCTTCTCCTGGGTGCTGGAGCGAGAAGCCTTGAATCCCTGCTGCTTCTGACGGATCGAAGACAGCTCAGCGCGGAGTTCCTGCTGCTTCTTCGCGGCGGGCGAGTCCTGGTTGTTGGGCTTGGCGGTCTCGATCTTGGCCTTGATCTCGGTCTTTGATATAAAATTAGTTTTCTGAGATCACGGATAGATGGTATGTTGCATTCGTCTTGCGATTGGATGAAAGGCGGAACACCAAAGAGTCAGTGTAGCGCAAGGCAGTCCGAATGGGCAGTTAGGCAGAGAAAAGGCCACGGAGCGGTAATAAGTCACCGCATCCAAGGCAGGGAAATGCGATTGCACGATGCCAATTAAAGCAGAAAGAGATCCTCACATACCAATTTGGCCTGAACAGCGGCATGCTCCTTCTCAGCCTGAGCAAGATCGGCCTTGAAGGCCTCCTCGTTGGGCTTAGTAGGCTTCACCTTGTGCTCCGTGGCAGGAGCGGATTTGGCGTCAGCGGCCATGGTAAGAGGTGGAGAAAAAGCAATAATATGACAACACTCGACAGAAAGAGCGCGATTGACCGAAATCAACCGGGAAAAAGAAAGCTCTAACGAGCGGGAAGAAAGGAAAGGGGGAGAAGGAGGAGGGGGGTTGAGGGGGGGAAGGAATGGAAAGAGAACGCTGGAGAAGAAGAAAGTCGGTGCTCTTTTCTTGGTCTGGCCTTTGCTGGTCCAAAAGGCGGCGCTTACCGTTTGGCGCTTTTAGCGCTGGCCCGCCGATTTTTCGAGAACCGCATTTTGCTTCCATCATCGCCTCTCTCCCCTCCAGCCTAGACAGCTTCCTGCTCCGCATTCTCCGGGCTTGATCGGTTTATCTGCCCGATTACTGCTCTTCTTCTACCTTTACACTTAATATCTTCCATTTTCAAGTTTCGCGCCGCGGTGTGCCATCCCCCTTTCAACCATGGACGAGGACTACTCTGCAGGCTCCGTGGACGCCGACCGCGAGATGACCAGACTCTGGCGCACATGGAGGACAGTCTTTGAGATGCTTCTGGATCGTGTAAGGATTTTCTCCAGCTTCAAGCCGAAGCGAAGCTTCCAATAACCGCCCCGCGATCATCCCCACTGACCAAAGTTCAACAAATCTGCAGGGCTACGAGGTGACAGAAGATGAAGTGCAAATGCCTCTCCACGAATTCAAGCAGAAATATTCCGACCCTCTAGGATACCCCGAGTATGCGCCGCCTTTCATCCCATTCCACATTTCAATCAACTCCTCCCATCTAACCCAAAAATCTCATCAAACAGCCGCAACAAGATGAAAATCAGCGCCCGGCCCACGGAAGCCATGCAAGCGAAATACACGCCCCTGCCTAGCAAATCGAACCCGAACCCCCAGCCGGACTGCGGCACCATCTACGTTGAATTCTGCCCGGACTCGACCGGCGTGGGTACCAAGCAAGTGCGTACCTTCAACCACTTCGTCGACGAGAACAACTTCCACACGGGCGTGTTCATCACCCAGACTCCCATCTCGCCGTCCGCTGTGCGCCTGCTGAGCAGCATGCCCGGCCGCATCTGCGAGCATTTCCAAGAGCAGGATCTGCTGGTGAACATCACCCGCCACGAACTGGTCCCGAAACACGTTTTGCTTAGCCCCGATGAGAAGGCCCGTCTGTTGGAACGTTACCGCCTGAAGGAGTCGCAATTGCCTCGTATACAGGTGTCTGATCCTGTTGCTAGATACTTGGGTCTGCGCAGAGGTCAGGTCGTCAAGATTATTCGCAGAAGTGAGACGGCTGGTCGGTATGCTAGTTATCGGTGGGTTATATAATCGGTGGGTTGCTTTTTTGGGGTCTTGGGATGAAAAGAATGAGCTGTCTCCGGTTATGGTGATATGCTTATTGCTGTGAGAGCCGGAGGTTACGCCTTTCAAATTTCTTTTCCCGATGCAAGTCCAGCAAAATGGCCCAATCTGCCCTCCGGAAGGAGTCTATTTACAGACGCAGAAAATCAAGAACAGGAACAAGATAAGAGAGGCTGGGTTGAGAGGGAAAAAATCGGAAAGGGGAGGGAAAAGAAAGAGAAAAAAAGAAAAAAGAAAAATTTACCGAATACAGGCATCGGGCAGCATGGCGTAAAGGCGAAAAATCTTCTCGAAAGTGTGTGTTTCTTAACGGGTGGTGTATGTGTGTATGTATGTCTATGCTATGTCTTATTTTTATTTTAGGTGTGCTTCGGTTTCACCTCTATTAGTTTTTAAACTACAAATCTATCGATCTACACAAATCATACAATGACTAGTTTGCAAGACTGACTTGATTTGAATGATGATATTAAGTTATAACTAAAAGTTACATTGCCACAATATATACTATCCTACATATATAACGTCCATCATCAGCTTCAACGCAGAGCGTGGTATACATACCATGTCTCGGTACTATCAAGACATACAACTCAATAAATAAGAGTTTACAGTCATATACTCATCCAAATACGTAGCACGTCGTGATCATTCGTTAAATCATTCCGAGCATCCCAGACCAGTCGCAACCCATCACCGTCGGGACAACAATCTCCCCACATCCTGGAGCTCGACTTCGTTCCCTTCAATGATAGGTGCCGAGACATCAGCCTGCGAGCGGTAAGAAGGGACCGGTGAGTCCGGAGGATCACTGAAGTGGACACTGGAGCCGCGACGGCGATTGGAAGACGAATGGGAGTTACTGCGTAGGCCTCCAGGGCGGGAGAAGTTGGGTGATGAGGGTAAAGGGAATTGGTGGGACGGGGCTGATGAGAAGGTAGTATTGAGATGAAGTGTTCGGGCGGCTCCTCCAATGTCCTGCGTGGAGGCGTTGCTTGCCCTGCTGGCATAGCGTGAATATTGCGGAGTCGGGGCACTGGTAGGAGAGGTCGGAGTGGGATTGTTTAGAAGGCTACCGACGTCGAAGATACGGAGGTTGGTGGTATCTGTCGAGGATGATTTGCGCGGTGTCTTGTTGGTTTCGATGTACTCGTGCGGACTGACTTTGATGTCTAGGCTGCCTGTGCTGGAGGCTCGGTCGTCTTCACTGCCGCCGGAGCGCTGGTTGAAGGACCAGTTGGGGTCTAAGGTACCGGCGCGGGCTGTCAGTGGATGGACGGGCATCGCGATGGGTGCAGGACGGGGTGTCTTGGTATCTGCAGAGCATAGTGACGGGTCCAGTCGGATACCCAGATCTGCAGCGAGATCGGAATCACTTCCCCACTGGTGGTGGGTGATTGTTTGACGGCGCACGGAGCTGTGATCCATGCTTTCGCTGACGGAGGCTGATCCTTGAGCCTTTTTGAACTTGTTCTTCTTGGCACCCCTGTCACGCACGAATGAACCTATTATGACCGCGTTTGAGACCGCTGTGGCGGCTAAGATTTCCAAAGACGCGACGAGCGATCGGTATTGCTGCGAGCCATCGTTCCAGATGACAGAGGGCACTCGATAGCATGTGATTCCGACCAGAATCAGAGACAGAGCGAACAGGATCACGAGTGAGATTTTGCGTTTCAGAGGCATGTGAGTCATCACGATGAAGGGGATCGGGAAGGAGACGAGGAGCAGATCGGTCATCACGTCGCAGGATCCCATTGTGATCAGATTGGCATAGCCGAGGCGACATTTTGGACCTGGGTCAGGTACGACTTGCCAGTAATGGTCGAAGGGCTGGCATTCAGCGAGAGTAGCAATAATCACTGCCAACAATGTCGATGCCAAAAAGTAATAGATGAATTTGAGGAATATTCGGAGGGATCGTCGCCAGATCTTGCCTGCCACTCGTTTCAGGAACTCGCATACTGTGAACTTGGCTATCCAGATGCTATTCGGATGGGAACGGTTAGAGCTGGCCCTGGAGACACCTGGCGGGAAGAGGGACGACTTACAAGATAGCATAGAAGATGCGCGCCACAAGAACGAATTTACTGCCAATGACTCGATGATCGATGTCTTCGGCAGACAAGCCCACGGTCTTGGTATTATTGGTACCCCAGATTAGAACGACATGCACGCATGCCATGCGGATTAATAACGGGATGACACTCGCCATCATCACCTTATCTTCGCGGAAGAAACGCTCAGTCCGAATATAGCGACCGCAAACCCGGACAACAATGATGGCCACTGAAAAAGCAGTGGCCCACCAGCTCACGAGCAGAGTGGGATTGTTTTGCTCCTTGGTACGGGCATCCGGAGGAATATCGGAAAAGAGCCCACGAGATTCGAGCATCCACTGTACATTCATGGTCGCTGTGCCACCTCCGAAGAGGGGCCAGTGAAGTGGAAGCTATCCCCAAAAGCAAATAGAGAAGTCCGAAGAGTTTCAGCAGCAGTTGATATGAAGCCGTGACGTTCCTTCGTACATTCACATCGTTTTCACTACTGGGATCGGTACCTGATAGGCACGTGCCCTACTCCGGATCTGGTTTGGGGAAGCCAACTCCCAAAGAGGAGCCGGAAAGTTACGATGGTCGTTGAAGGACACCCGAGACAAGGTGGAGATGGCGATCGGCAAACGGTGCTGTAAGTAAACGGTGACAAGAGCTTTTCTCCTTTCACTGGACGTAATCGTGTCCTTGCTGGTAGGAATGTAATAACGACGACAGTAGTGATAAGAGTAAGAAGCTCGGACGCGTTCTGTGGATTTGCGGGGGAGGCTTGAGACTTCTCGCCAACCAGTTCTGTCCGGGAGAGTATCGATGTAGAAGAGGTGCCAAGTACACCGCTGTTCTGACGTCGACTGAAAGTAATTATAAGAAGTAAGCAAGACTTGAACAGCAAGTCACATCAGCGGAGAAGTAAGTATCTTTGCAACCAGATTGCGCGATGAGCGCCGCGTCAAAAAAGGGTGTTAGAGATAACAACACGGGGACCTCTACCACTGGCACTTATACCTTAACGGTGAAGCATAATATATTAAAGCTCGCATGGCGAGAATCAGCTAGACTTGGGATGGGCCTACGGGTCATGGCGCGCTCGATAAACTTCGCGCTGGGGGGGGGGGAAAGCGGAAGATAACGTAGACGGGAACGGTGGGCGCCGGATGTAGCCATGGAGGTTGCGCGAAGTGATGGGAGGGAAATGCCGGAGAAAAAGAACCAAGATAACTTGGGAGCGTGGACCAGCCAGAGAGGAGCGATAGAGCAGGGGAAGAAAGCTAGTAGTAACTGGTGCCTAGCTCACCCATGGCGTCTAACACAGCCAATGAACAGGGAATGGCTGGATGGACGGATACGAAGCCATCGTCCAGCTCACGAGATTGCTTGTGATATGGGAGTTTGCCACATGATTTGCAGCTGATTTCGGGCACGATCGTGTGGGTGGACAGTCTTCGCAGCGTCACGACTCCTGCGAGGTGGAGATTATCGTTCCATACAGAGAGCAAACTGGCCATTATGATTTATCCGCGGCGATAGGCCGATGATCAGTCGATGCGCCGGGAACCAACGCCAATCACCGAATTTCTCATACATGGGAAGGTCGGTCCTGTGGACAAGCAACAGCAGCAGCTGGAGCAGCTGGAAATGATAAGCCCCTGATAGGGCGAGTGTCCAGGCCCCGCCTACTGACAGCGTACATTAGCTGGGCGGAGCTAAACATGGGGGTTGGTTGGAATGGACACAACGAACCTTGGGTGGGTTAACTAGTTACTTCTTACTCCCCTCGCAGGAGGGGGCTAAGCAGGAACCACAACTACTAACAAACAAAAGCAAAGGTTAAGAAAGAGCGAGTGACGGAGTGGAAGAGGAGAAACAGACGGAGACTGCCCGAGCGGCAAATCTTAAAACAAAACAAAGCAATGTCCGAGTGTCTGTTTTGTCTCCACTGCCTGGCTGCCTTGCAATCAGTTGACTATGGCTGGATTCAAATCCCTCAAATACCTCTCTCAATTTGGTTCTCTACCCCAGAATAACCCCTACAGCATATTCCAAATCCATCAGGCACTCATCGGACGGATCGTCTTCGTTACACGTGAGATAGTATTGGGGCGATGGACCGGATGGACATGAAAAAGCATATGCGCAGAACTGAAGAAAAGCAAAGAGTATGTCAAGGCACCGGTTTATCTCCGTCATAACATGATTCGTTCTCTCCTCATGGCCAAACCAGGGATTCCCTGAAACTTTGGACACAGAGATAAGGCGTACTACTTTTACTTATTTAGCGATTTGTCGGTGTCCCGACCGGTCGATGCCGAGGACACACAGCCAACTGCCAGGGGAGCAACTCTCTCGTGGCCCATAAGCAGGCCAGATCCATGCAAATGAAACTAACTGATATTCGGAACGTTCTCCTCCTCGATTGATAAGGGATCTCGACCTTTTCATTGTTCCGGTCTATCTAGGTGTCTAAAATAATCCAGTAGTGCTCAAATGTACAATATCACCAAACGGTCATGAAAAGTCTAGACGCGACGAATCCTGATAAGCCAAGTTCTGGCTCATCTACTTCCTCAGGGACTGGATGTCCGCCCCCTTGAGGATGCCGTCCAGGACCAGCCGCAGTTCTTGCAAGAACTTGGTGACCTCCTGCTCGGTTCCCACGGTAATTCGCAGGCAACCCTCGCAGCCAAGTTCCTTGCCACGGAACCGCACCACCACTCCCCTCTTCTCCGCCATGGCCTCGTAAGCTGCCAGCGCTGTCTTGTTGCTAGGCTTGCCGCCCTCGCTAGCCGGCTTATCTAGCATCTCGACCAGGAGGAAATTAGCCTCTTGGCCGCCAAGGAACCGGCCGACACCGGGGATCTTGGGCAGCTCTTGCACCAGCCGATCCCGCTGCACAATAATCTGCTCCCGGTACTTCTTCATCACGGTCATATTGGTCGGCGAGAGAGCGGCCGTGGCAATGGCACTGGTAGGGCTAGAGATGTTGTACGGGGCCTTGAGGCTGTTGAGGAGAGTTGCAATCGGGGGACTGGTGAACGCAACACCCAGGCGGATACCCGCCAGACCAAACGCCTTGCTCAGCGTTTGCATGACCACCAGGTTGGGCCACTCAGTCACCCATTCAGCCAGACTAGAGCCCTCCGGAGCAAAGTCAATGTACGCCTCGTCGACAACCACCACTCCGTTCCACGTCGGGTGCTCCAGCACCTTCTGAATATCGGCCTTCTTAATCAAATTCGCGGTAGGGTTTCCGGGAGAGCAAATATAAGCCATCTTGATCGAGGAGTCTGCCGCCAGTGCCTCATTGATCTTCTCCGGCTGCAGTTGGAAAGCATTGTCCACATCCAAAGGCACCTT